AATTGTGAAAACTGCGTCTTTGGTGCGGTTATTTATATGTGATGCCGAGACAAACATATCTACAGATGGACAAAATTTTATCTATATATCCTTTAATCCTTCGTATTATTTTTCTTAAATATATCCTATGTGCAGATATCGTTTAGTTATCGTTGGATAAATAGACATAAACTAAAATAAATATTATGACATAGATAGTACCAAAAACAAAAATTATATCAACACACCAGTCCAACAAAACAAAACCATAAAAAACAAAATAACATCAAACCAACATCAAACAGCGAAAAATCTAATAAGGTACAAGTAAAAACATAAAGCAAACACTGGACCTGAAATACTCAGAGTACGATATATTGGAGTGACCATCTGTTTGTTATATTCATAAGCAAGTTGTCATATTATAGGTATGTAACAAGAGCAAACCCGCAAAATCCCTAGAGAGAGATTGATGTCCTTCATGGCAACTTACTTACAAAACACGTAGGTATATATTTTGCTCTCGGCATTAACTTTATAGGTCACATAAACAGGCCCCCTCGAATTGGGGAGAAGGGACTAATTTAAACCTCTACGTTTCGCCATGATAAAATGGAATATTATCACTCAAAGGGTTCGTAGAAAACACATGAGGCCTGCGAAATGTGTCGTACTTAATGGAAGGACTCTGGGGTTGCTTATTAACAAAATAGTGCTTACTCAATATTGCAGTGTGCTCCTATAAATAATTAATTACTTACTTCAGAAATTCACATGGCAAATTTAAAATTCTAACTAAAAAAGCAAGTAAATAAAAATTCCAAATTATTTATTGATAACTATAGATTAATATAATGATGATGTAAATGATGATTAACGATGACGCCTACATCGATATTACCTTAGTAATATTTTTATACTGGCTGTTAGATATTGGGTAACACAAATATGAAAACCACGTCTAATTTAATGCAGCCGTTAGAGTAGTTCACTTATAAATTTTGTAGCCTATAAAAATGTTAAACTTATGCCTTAGTGTCTTTTTTAAATTCTTTTATGGGTATGAACAGGCGTAAATTAGTTACAATTTTGTTATAAGTACAAAAGCAAAATAGATTTCTCTTTTTACCTGAGTATTAATGTAAAAGGCCACGTGAAATTAATTGGCTTGAATATTCAAATTCAAAATACTATTTTAGCATTCCACGAGTTTGCTAATTCTAGGTAAAAAATTAAATTACATCTTACTAATACTCGTGTAATAATATTGTAACTAGATGACATTTGTAGATAGAGATGTTTAAGAAAAAAATATATTTTAAATCTTAATAACAGCAACGAAAACCAAAAGAGTAATGTTAAGAAATTTTGTTTTGCTGTCTTTCTAAAATAGCAAGTTTATAAGGATCAGGATTAAAGCTGAGCGATTTTTTTAATCTCAGACAAATATTTAAAACACTGCATTTCGTTATCAAATTAAAATTATAGACTTCATATTTATCAGATATTTTAAGTTTATTTTTTATTTATTTAAGTTAATATGTTCCCGTAAAAGAATTTAATCAGATCATTATAGAATCATCGTCAACACATGCAAACTTGAGTTCAGGTCCAAATAATACTGATTTTTATGCAATTCAGAAAAATGGAAAAGTAATCATTACCTATAGACATGAACAGTACCATAGATGTCACAGAATACTCTATGACGTCCATGGTACCCTTTAGACGTTTATTATTAATGGATGATAATGGAATGGTAATTCCACCTGCGCTAATACACTAGCGGGTCACTAGTGAGGGATGATAGGTGAGAATGGAAAGACAGGTCAGTTAGCTCATCGTGATGAATATGCCTGGAATTCAGCACGATGATTTCCAAGAGGGGCCACGTGGAGGACCTGATAGAGTATATTGACAGGTAGTCCACATTACTAACAATTCCTTACCCCCCCTCCTCTACCCTTTAGGGGTTTTTTTTTGATGAGTGAAAATGGTATGGTAACCCCGCCTGCGCTAATGGGATACGCTGACGGAGCACCATTGAAGGATGACAGATGAGAATGAAAACAGGCCAGTTAGCCCATCATGATGAATTCATTAAGGAATTAACCATGATAGTGTCCAGGGGGAACCGCGAGGAGGTCGACCTGGTTGGGTATATTGCTAGCAATGGGATTTTCAGCCTCCATTACTAACAATCTCTTTCCCCCCACCCTTTAGGGGTTGTCAATCCTACTGTAAAAGTTTTGTAAATATTTTTAATTTTTGCTAGGTACTTAATCACGCTTAAACTTTTTTCTATGTAGGTCAAAAATATAATCCTATAATTTTCAATATTATACTATTTACAGTGTAGTATTTTATATTACCAGTTTTTACTCACAACTTCATCCTCGTGATTGGAATATTATTGATATTTTTTTATGGAATTATTTTAAGATATAATTAACCGGAATAAAAAATAGTATTGGAAAGAAAATGGAATGGAGAAGAACTATAATCTTTATCCCAAACACTATCGAAACTTCTTTGTGGCCATACTGTAAATTTAAATCTGGCTACATCCTATATATGTTGATATTATTTTTTATACGGTTTTTGTTTCTATTCAAATGGTTGTCTTGTATCTATACGTATCATATATATTATTGTTCTAAAGAATATTATTTTTCACTGTGACCCTCTACAAACACTATATCTACTCTACTATACGTTAAGCCAACAGGTAACACACAAATAAACTAACATACTTTCATATCTATTGTATATCTATATTACCAGATATTACCAGAAATTTCTATACAATCATTAAATCGAAAGACAAAAACAATATGTAATTTTCTACTCAAACACACTTTAGATTCATTTTACAGCATCTGACAAAGTTTTAGTCACTTAACCGAAAAGCAGTTAATGTTTCCATTCAATTAGGTACTTACTTATACCACCTATCTGTCAAGAGCAACCTTTTCGCGCCTAACCAGTGAACTGAGAATGCGGTTTACCAAAATCTTTCAGTATAAACAAAGAATTTGTTATTCTCACAGACCGTCTGGTAAAGAAACGTCTTAAATATCTAATGAGAGGTGCAAGTTAGCAGAATCATTTTCCTAGACCGTGCCGATAATTGTAAGATAGAAAGCGTAGGTACTAATTCATTAGTGTCACTTACGATATTATCTATGTGAGAATTGGGCTTAAACTACTTAATACCCCTAATAATTACAATTGCGAAGGTATGTGAAGAAAATAGATTTTATTTACATATAAGTACTTACATAGAATTGTAACAATAAATCCATAATAGATATGTATACTTAGATAGATACCTCAAATATCGTTAATATAGCTTATATATAGTGTATCTAAAGGATATATAAAATATAAGAAATTATGCGTAAAAGACACTGAGCCTTTTCAATTTTTTTAATAGAATAATTGATTTTTAACTCTATAATTGTAATATTAAATCTTATTTACTTTCAATTTAGAATTTTAAGTTTTCTTGTAAATCATTTCGGTGACGATAAACCACAAAATAGTTTATTTTTAATATAGGTATATATTGAAAAATTCACTACATTTTCTATACTATAATGTAAAATGTAAATCATTTTTATCCTACGGTATTTTGATTGAATTCTCTAATTCATTTATATCAGACATTAATTGTCCACTGCTGAACACAGGCCTTGGCAGGCGTGGCAAGTTGGCAACCAGTTTTTTTTTTCTTTGTAATTGATGGTAATGGAATGGTAATCACGCCTGCGTTAACAGTATACGCTATTAGGGCACCAGTGAAGGATGATAAGTGAAAAAGAAAATGCAGGTCAGTTAGCCCATCTGGAATTAGTAAAAAACAACACTAATGGATTTTATTCATTTTATAACTTCAGCAAAATTTGTAATATAGCATTAATTCCGTTACTATATGAATAAATAAATTAATTTATTAGATAATACATCCAAACTTTAATTATACTTAACTATATCACTGGTTCAAATCCATTAAAAATTGAGCTAAAAACGTCGGTCATTCTTTATAACACACTAATTAGTTTATATTTTTATTTATTACTACCTAATTTATCAAAACACGTATTAGTTATTTTGATATTTAAAAAAAATTATATGTGAAATACTGTTTTTGAGATGGCGGCATAATATTGACTGTAAATATCGTCACCTCTATGGCAAATTTACGAATCTGCAGTTTTTTCAAATTTGACATTTCTTTAAAAATCTACATTTTGCGTCATACTACTTATTGTGGCTTATTTTCAAATTTTTATCTCTAACGGTTAAAAAAATCGAATAGCACGAATCTCCATGTTTTTGTGATATACCCAAAATAATCTTACTTAGCATATTTTTATAGTATTTTCTATAATAAACACTTTAATTTGAAAATTTCAATAATTATTTTATCAATTTTTCAATCCTGATTTAGTTATTTTACATGAATGATTGCTATAACGTTGTTGTTGCCACTTTCGTAAATTTGCTGTTCTATAACTCAATACCTAGGAACTCTTATATATGAAAGTGCAAAGTAATGAATATGCATTTATTTCTAATACTTGTAATACAATAATAATTAATTAAGTGCATTCAATAAAAAACAGGATTTTAAAACTAAAATGTTAGCATGATCTTTTACAGTAGTCTTCTATCAAAAGTTATTTGCATTCTAATGTTTCAAAACGTCCCCCTGTAAAATGTATCTTTTTCAATTTCGTAAGTTTACCATAGAGGTGATGATATTATGTATGGTGCCATTTCATAATCCGCCATGTTGAGATTTTTTTTACACTTTAGTAATATAGTTTCCTAAGGAAACATCAATGCAACAATAATATTCCAATACGCAGAACAAAATAAAAAGAAATCCGGTCTTAATCACACTTTAGTGTTTGCTACTATCCTTAATCTATGTCTGTACCGAGTACTATATTCTTTGACGTCTATACACGCAGTCATCCGTCAATCGACATTTAAAGTGTAAGTCATTCGTTAATCAATCACGCTAATCGACCAAATTAAAATGCAAATGTCAAAATATTAGAAGTTGAAATGTTTTCATTATAAAGAAAATATTTTTTTATTATATTACTAAAACAATATATTATCAATCTGTTCACATTTAAAATCTATTATGGTTCGGCGACAGCGTGAACAAAGCACCACCGAAGATGAAATAGTAATAGGTATGGAAAATAACATTTGTTGTTTCTGACGTTGATAATACTATTCCTTTGCATATTTTAAACCCTCCTTGGGAATTACATATTTTCTTTATTATACGTACATTATTTACAGACACCTCTCCACCAAAGAAACATAAACGTCACAAACATAGAAAACACAAAAAAAGAAAAATAGAAAATGATTTTGAAAGTGACACATCTATCGATGTCTCTTATGAGGATGCATTGGACAAGCCATACAAAATGAAAGTGAAAACAGGCAAAGAGTTGCCTGGCACCTCTGCAGCAGATCTACTTAAAGCCCAAACCATGAAATCATCATCAGACTCCCGTCGCTCAATACCAGGTTCCTCATCAAGCACACCTCCAAAGGCATCTAAAAAAAAGAAAAAAGGGAGAGATAGTGGGACTTCTAGTGAGGAGGAAAGATGGCTTGATGCTATTAAATCTGGGAAACTTGAAGAAGTAAGTTTTCTAATTAATTTATATTCTTACTTATGTAATTTGGACCGCTTAGACAATTCAGTTTCTATGTTATCCCAAGTGGTTTGTTTACTTAAACTGATAGTTTCTTAGTACAGATTATGGGCCAGTCAAATGATATCACAAATAATACCATTAAATGAATCCATTGAAAACATTTTCTTTTTATTATTATTTTAAAAGTAAATATAGTATTTAAGTATATTAAAATACCTAAGTAAACTTATTTTATCATACTTAATATGCTTTTTGCAGGTTGACGAAGAACTAAAAAAAATTAAACCAAAAGATCCTAAAATGATGACTGCAAGACAAAGAGCAATGTATGAAAGGGGTAATGACAAAGAAACTAGTCCTGGAGGAGAAGTGTTACTGGCATTGCCATCTGGCTATAAAGAAAAAGTTATGACTGCAGAAGCCATACAAAAAGCAGCATTGAAGTCACAAAAACGAAAACAATTAGCAGATGAAAAGCGTGAAAAAGATAAAAAAAAAACTATGGATCGTTTACTCAAAAAACAAGAATCTAAAAACTTAAAAAATACACAAAAAGGCAAACCAATGAAAAAACAGGAGCCTATGATAGTTTATAAAAACAATAACAATGAAATATCTTTGTCATTGCCACCTGGAGTGCAATTCCCTCTGGAAACTAAGGCTCCAATAGAAGCACCCAAACCTATTAAATGTGGAGTAGATGGATGCCATAATAATAAAAAATATAATTGCTCTCATAGTGGCATTCCATTATGTAGTCTAGAATGTTATAAGAAGAATTTAACAACTATTATGGTAACCTAATATAAATGAATGTTAATTTTTAATTTTTGTTTCATTTTAGTATCTTATCCAAAACAACAACTGACATCCATTTTACACACATTTACCAAAGGGAGACTTTATACAAAAGTCATTTGTTTGGACATCTCTGTTCCATTCATGTTTCAACTGAAAGCAGTTGTGTTTGCATGGCTGTGTTTCAGTTTGAAGGGTGGCATATGGCAGTTAATTTACAGGGTATAGAGGAACACCTGAGTCCACAAGAATGGCAACGCATGGTGGGTATCATTGGCAAAACAGCTAAATGTTATGTTCATGGTACTGCTCATGTCTTTAAACGATGGTTACCACTTTCCTTCAGTTGGACCTTTTTTTAATGGATTATATTGTAATGGTAACCCTGACTGCGCTTTAGGTATACGCGGGCAGGTTACCAGTGAGTGGTGATAGGTGAAGATGAGGCAGGTCAGTTAGCCCATCCTGACAAATTAAACAATAAATCAATCACGATGGTTTCCAGGGAGAACTGCGAGGAGGTCGACCTGATGGGTTTATTACTAGCAATGGAGACACTAATCTCCATTACTAACAATTCTTTCCCCCCCCCCCCTCCCATCAGGTGGACTGTCAGCTTGTTTGCCATTCTAAGTTGTATTAAAAAAACGAGAATGTTTTTGAGAAATATAATTACCCTCAGGTGAGGTAAAATCAAGCACAATCCATCTTTTAATAAAAAATTATAAGTTTTAGTTTACTATACTATAACTTGTGCAGTTTCATAATATATGTAAGTAACAAAGTAATATTATGGTATGATGATTATAGCTATATTAGTCTTTTCTTACCTCGTGTCTCAATATAATCAGAGGATATAGCCTAAGGGTCTGCTTTGCTTGGTACAGAGGTTGATTTATTTCCCACTAGTGATTTATTTCTTTTTACATCCAATGAATTAAAAAAAGAGTTAACAAAATCTATTTTTGCAATGTTACTACACAAATCTCTGTCAAGAAGTCAACAACCCATTTGTGTAGTGAGGTCGAAATATGAGTTTTATGGATCATAAAAGAATGATAACCCCATCTGCGGTAACGGCATACGCTGGCGAGGTACCAGTGAAGGATGATAGTTGAAAATGAAAAGGGAGGTCATTTAGTCCAGCTGGACTTCAGCACGATGGTTTCCAGGGGGGACCACATGGAAGTCGGCCTGACAGGGTATATTGCTAGTAATGAGACTGGTAGTCCGAATTACTAACCCCCCCCCCCCCCCCAAATATGAGTCTTTACTATTTTCAGATGTATAGGTATGTATGAAACATAAGATTGTAATAAATTATTAGAGTATTCATAACTTACAACTTCAGTGTAGGTCTATTTGTACATTTCAGTTTTGACCAATGCCTTACCTCATAAATACGAGTACAAAGGTAGTGTTAGAAAATAAAAACAAAATTGACAGCTAAACAGTGAGCATATATTTTGTAAACAAGTATATTTTATAGATAATCTTAAATGGAAAAAAAAATAAACAGTAGCTTCTCTATTGTGAAACCAGTCTTACATTGGGTTTAAGGGAAGTAATAATATACTAAATAATTAAAAGGTGAAACAATAATGTCTACATAGAAATTGCATTCGGATTCACTACCTGCACAGTCTTGCCAGAAAAAATGTGTTAGCCTCCATTAACTGCTTCAGGGAACACAGGGAAATATCTAATCCAATAAAAATAATTCAATAAATATCAGACTAGAACCTTTTGACAGGTCTACTTCAAGTTACAAATACCTGGTTGGGGATGAAGACAAAAATATCATTCCATTCATTTCAATAGAACTAATCTATTTAATTTGTATCTAATACTACAGAATTGTTGCCTTTATCATACTAATTTTTAAAGTAATGCAATAAAATTCAAATTTGGATGTCTTCAGTCTAATATAATGGCAACATTCAATATATTTTAATGTGATCAATCTAACAGAAGTTCTAAATATGTATGAACACAAGAGTTGAAACTATTTATCAATCCTTCCTACTTACTAATATATAAATACTCAACCAATAGTCATGACATTTAGAATACACAATTACGGATTTTTTTCCTAGTCAATAAATATATCCTATTTATATGGACGAAGTTATAGATAAAACTAAGTTCATATATACATGTATAGGAAAATTATATCAATTAAACTACAGAATCTTTTAGTCACAGCTGTGCAATTATAAAACTTATTTAAAGTACTAAAAACTAGTGTTTTAATTACCTACTGTTTAGACAATGACGATCATTATGTTTCACACAGATACCTATGATATTTATCTAAAATAGGAAATAATTATGTTCAAAATTTGTGTTGTTTCAACTCTTGTATACATACATGCTTATAAGTACAACTTATTTGAAAATATGAAATTGTACATTTTACAAATACATTTACCTAGGACTTTAATACTTCAAATACACCTACTGTATTACAAATCAAAAACAAATATTTCCATATTCCTTATTTTTATAACAAGCTTCAGTTTTGTATATCATTTTATAGTTACACATAACACATAAATGAGCTTTAGTTTTACAAATTAACCTCAATTGAGATTCTAACACCTAAACAACATTGATTTGGCAAATTACTTGAGCTGTGTAATATAATATTTTTAAGCATAACATTCAATTATGTATTAAAAGTACCACATAAATGTACTGCAAAGCTTGTACATATCAATCCAACTCTTAAGATCCACTAATTTATGATACTGTTTTACAATATATTAACAAAGACACAGACATTAAATGGAAAAAAGTATTTCCTTCTTCTTCACACTTTCATTATCATTCTGGACTAAGTTACACACCATAGATACATCAAGAACAAATACTGCAGGTTTGGTTTATTTACTCTGAACATATACTGGACAGGACTGTTCCCTCTACAACCAAAGCTTTGTTCAGGTATAAATCTACAATATGTGACATTATTTGCACTATTGTTTCTTGTCATATCAATTCTATTTGTGACATACTAATATTCACTAAACACAAAACAGATATGTAACACATTACAGTTGTCCATAATTCTTTCCAACTGGTTCTAAACTATAAATGCCTCTTTTGCTACACTAATACTCCAATGTCATTCACATTCCCAAGAGAGCTCACAGAAAGAATAGGCCCACAGAAATCAAGTCATGGGCATAGCTCAATAAATTCTACAGACCGAAGCATGGCAGCCAGCAGAAGGGCAAAAAGTAGCCAGCTTGGTATCAGACATTTGTCCGTTTCGAGCTCCTAAGGCGCGCCAAGCCAGACTGTAACCGCTAAGATTGGTTATTCTGTTTATTTGATCTGAGTCGTGCAAGGCCTGAACGCTCTTCCTCTTCATCACTTGTGCAAGACAGACCTCCTACGGCTCCACGAGATGAAGTAGCTTGAATCAAATCTTGATCAGGTCCATTTCTACTCTCATATAATAATATACCCAAGGTCTCCTCATAAATTCTAGCTTCGGGAAACTCAACTTTGGTATGCTTTTTATCTGTGGCATAAACAATAGAAGTACAACAGACTTCAGCACATTTTTTTCCATGTCCAAAGAAAGACCAGCAACATATCTCATTGGATCCAATGACATCCTTAATAAAGAGAACTCTACCACTGAATCGTAGGGACAGTTTGTCAAATAACTCAATATTCTTTAATAAATTATCATCAGATGTGCTTGTATATGAATACTTATTATTGTGCCTATTAATCAAAAGTTTTACCACTGGCTGAAAAGGAATAAACATAATAAAATATTTAAATAAGTCATTTTATTTATGAAAATAATATAAATGATTGTCATGAAATATTAAAGCCAAGCCTATTATTACTAAGAGAAAAATTATCCTTAATTAGCTGTATATAAAATATAGCTTAGTGGTAAAAATTATTTTTTTCTAAACTTTACCTCTAAAATGATAGAAAAAGTTACCTTAGAAGTTGACATTATAAGCAGTTGTTCTTCCTTTTGTGAAGTTATCAATGGCACCCGACATATTGGTTCTGCCTCTCTTTCCTTTTTAGATAGAGCTTGCTGACATGAATCAGTTAATTCTTCAATTAAAAAATATTTGGCCTCAGCCAGTAGCTCCATTACCTCACGATAACTATCAGGTAAAGCAACAGTACCATCTCTGAGATAATTTAATATTGTTCCAAAATGTTTGCCACAACGATCTATCAGTATCCAACCTGAAATTATAAAGCAATACATTACTAGATTTATTTGATCATTTTTAAAATTACTGAGAATTTTTAAAAAGTGTTAGAAATCATAAATTAAAAAAAACAATGGTATTGACACATAACTAGATTATCTACTGATAACAACAGGAAGACATTAGCAAAATTGTAATTGCAATAGGCATATAGCATTTATGATAAAATAATAATTAGCCATACCTTCCGAATCCGTCAACACTTCCATTCTACCACTGAACATCGTTCGAAGCATATTGTCACTCTTAGTCAGGGTACCAATTGTTGTATAAAAAAGTGTACCGCCCACATTTAATTTTACGTATTGCGATGGACTGCCTTTTATCAATGTTTTGTGATCGCCCGACATTTTCTAAAAAAATGTCGGTATAATAGACGAAAACCTCTTTGAAACAACTATAATGTTACTTTTAATGTGCAGCTTTAAAAACAAATTATTTATCTTTTTACCTTTAAATCCATTCCAATACGAAAAATAGAAGTATTGTTTAATTTTTGACAATTATTATGGAACAATACTACCAAAAAGCGATAATTTGAGAATAAACAATTGTTTGTTTTTTTTTTTTACATTTTCTGGCTCTAGAATCTAACTGCGTAGTAGCCAAATAGTTGCTTGTATGTATCAAAGACTAACAAAAGAGTCCATAGACGATCAAAATATTCACTGATCAAAATTATAATTATGAATCAAGATACATCTATAAATATTATTATTTAATTTCATATATTTTATTTTTTTTTATTTATACAACTTAGAATGGCAAACAAGGCACCTGAAGGAAAGTGATAACCGTCGCCTATAGACATGAGCAGACTATACTGTTTCGGCCATGATATCCCCCATGTGTTGCCATTCCTGAGGACTCAGATGTTATTCCTCCGTACCCTGTAAATTCATGCCATATCCCACCCTTCAAACCTAAACACAGCCATGCAAACACAACTGCTTTACGGTTGAAACACGAATGGGGCAGAGGTACCCGAGCAAACGACTTTTGTACAAAATCTCCCTCTAGTTTCGTGCGCTTGTAGCATTGATCTTAGACAGTTGATTTAGCGCATCGCGGAAGGATTTTAATACGAATATTACATTGCTGTTCTTTGGTATTTTATAGTATTTTATTATATAATGATATAATATCATAGATTATATGATTTTAAATGGATAAACAGGAAAAATTGGAAACTTTTTCTGTTTATTACCGGAAAGAATTTCCACTGGTTTTTTGTTCAGAATAATGGTCAGAATTTACTGTTTTAGTTTTTCCCAACCTGTCCCTTACACTCTTTATATGTTATTCCATCGCCCAAAAGTAACGTAGTTAAATAAAATTTGGTAGGTGGGTTTTTTTCTAACTTACTCCTGTGACACAGTAATTACTTACTCTATGCTCTCCACATAAGATACTTTATATACTGATTTATGCAGATGCGAAAGCGCGAGATACGGCTAGTTGTAATTGTACTTGTTTTTTTTATAAAATATTTTATACTAGTATGAAATATTTTGTTAAGAATCTCATCCGCTTAACGTTTCTGTACTTTACAAAGAAACAGTAAACAAATTAATACATAATATAATTTTCAACTATTTGGCTCAGGTTTTTTTTTAATGAGTGAAGATGGAATAATAACCCCGCCTGCGCTAGCGCTATCGGTATACGCTGGCGGAACATCAGTAAAGGATAATAGGTGAGGATGGAGATAGGTCAGCTGGCCCATAGTGACCAATTGAACAAAAATAAACCACTATGGTTTCCAGGAACCGCGTGGAGGTCGACCTGATAGAGTATAATACTAGCCTTATGGGCCTTTTAAACCTCATTACTATCAATCCCTTCCCCCCCCCCCCTTTTGGATCGTGTTAGGTATTTGGTAAATAATTTCTCAATTCTCCCAAAGAACAAACTTTTCTTGCATATTTTTTTATGATACTTAGTACAGCAAATAAATTGACATTCCACCTGATGGAAAGTAACAGTTCTTCCCTGCAGTTATGAACAAAAAAAATGAAAAATCAAAATATTTTTCATTAAAAATCAAAACCGTGACCAGGCGGCACCGAAAGTATACTTATGCACTGCAGACGTCATTCAATTATAGATTTAGAGCAAAGAATGATTTATTTAGTGCAAAAGCATAAGCAATGACTATGTTAAAATCAACTATTTTAAAAAATTAGAACACTTCAACGCAATAGGTAGGAATAAAACTGTTTGACTAGGCGCAGAAACGGATACGTTCGCAAGTGACGGTACGAAGCCGATCGTATACGTTGACATCTTGTTGTACGCTGAACTGTAAGTATATTTTAAGTATTTGCACAAGGATTTTTTTAAAATGAACGTACACCACTGACTTATTACGACGTATCTTTAAAGCATTAAATCTATGAATCTAATTTAAAAAAAAAAGTTAATAGTGCATCGTAAATTGTAGAAAAAAAATCCTTTGTCGTGGTAGTTCTCTTAGTAGTCTGTGGTCGTGTGCAAGAAACAAACTGATGAATTTAGTAAAATTTTTTAATGTATGTCAAACAGGAAACTAAAGAAATTACTCTTTGACATAATACTTTATTGTTTTTACATTAATTAACTCTATATTGACAATCAATACTGTACCCGGTGGTTAAATCCTTTTTCACTCTTCTCGGTTGCCTGATAATAATGACAGGTGTATTAAAACTATTTGATATTCCCATACATTTCACGTATATGTATTTTTTAATTAAATACTATTTTCTGGCTTAGAATGTTTTACAGCAAATGAAAAATATTTCCTTTGATCTTTTCCAAATTCCTGAGCATCCTTTAGTGTTTCTGGTAGACTAGTATTTAAAGTTTCCGGAAGCAAAAAGAATGATATACAACCCAAAAAGGAAATTCCAGATAATATCAAATACGGTAATTTTAAATCCACTTTATGTCCCTGTAACAAATATATTAGATATATCTAGGCACTTAAAAAAGGAGAAATTTATTATTAGAATATATGTTCTAATAATTATGTAATTATTATCACAAAACAGCCATATTAAGTTGTGGGTACCTACAAAAAAATTCAAAAAACGGATAGGCAAAGAAAACAGTACATTTATTAAAATGATACCTAGACTTAATATAACGTGCTATTAAGGAATTATATTTAAATTTCAAAAAGTTTTTCATAAAGGCCACTTTAAAAGCATGATCCCAGGGCCCCCAGACTATACTTACAGGTACGTAAAAATATTACTTACTGAGAGGTGATATTTACGTATGTTGTACGGAATATTGTTAAAAATTTTGAATTAATATTATCAGACACTTTCTGTCGGCGGTAATTATTGCCAGACGCAAATCTTTAATAAAGAAAAAAGATATGTTTACTTATAGTCTGAGATTTAATTTTTATATACGATATTTAGGGAATTAAGTACTTCAATACTTTTTGTATGTTGCTAGATCAGTCGTAGGGGCCAAACATCCTCTCTCAGTATGATCGCGCGCATCATTATATTATGTATACTTTTACTATACGTACTGATACTATGCTATCATCATTTCGTACATTAGAAAATAAGCAAGGCTTGGGATGTTGATCTATTTAATGTTGTAGATCAGTGATTCTCAACCTTTTTTTTTTGTTGCGGCACATATTTAACGATTTCAAAATTTGGCGGCACACAAAGAAAAAGATAAAAATTATTTACTTACTACAACACACTGCATAAATAGTTTATGACAAAATTTTTAAATATTTGCAAAATTTGGCGGCACACTTTAAAATTTGGCGGCACAAAAAAATGCCGCGGCACAGTGGTGGAGAATCACTAATGTAGATGAATATACCTGTATTATTTATGTATGAATGCTATGACTTTATGCGATAATGTGGCACCATTAAGGTTATTCTTGACGAATTTGACACGATATGAGTTTAATCTCACCTGTCAACTTTCAATATCCAACGTAAATCAATAATTTAGTTGAATTACATTGATTCACAAACAAGTAGGTATCTAATATATATATGTAAGTAGATAGATAAATTAGAACCAAGTCCAGGCATTTACCGCTCGAGATAACAAAAGATTTCGTTTATCACCATACAAATAAACATCTTTATTATCATCATCACTGTTTGTTTACCACCAAGTTAATACATGGTGGTATACAAACAGTAGAATCTGTTTGTAAATATTTATTTATAACTATAGTTCTCGTCACTGGTAAAGAATCTATGAGAAGATAGATAAATACTCGTAAATACTACAAAAATAATCTCAGTGATTATCTAAATTAAACTTTATTAAAAACAGTTAAGCACAAATAAAATAAAATAAAAGAAAAATTGGTACAAAATTGACACTAGGCATAATTAATATATATTAGATTAAGATGATTTTGCAAAAAAAAATCCACTTCGAAAAATGAAACTAAAAGAAGACTTTTAAGGCTTTAAAAATAAAAAAATAAATCAGTAGGTATTTCAGTGTTTTTGAATTAGTCGCATATTTTTAAAATAATTTGTCAAAAACGGATTTATATTTTTCTTTTTAACCCTTAATCAGGCTCCATGTGCACTGGCATTCAAACATATTTTTAAATATAGTGTGTTCTTAATTTTTATAATGTATACCTAAGATCTATTTCTTAAAAAATATTAAAATTAAGACAAAAAACAGTGGTCGTATTTATTATGCACTATGCCTGTTAAAGAGCTCTCTGTCGTTTTATAATTTGTTTCCATTATCCCTATTTTTAATTAGGAACTGCATAGTTACACTACTAGAAGAATGTTATTTTTGTTAAAAAAAAACGTAGAATGTTATTTTTGTTATAAAAAACCTAATAATTTACAATTATATTTTTATTTCAAAATCACCTCTTGTATAATGGAAACAGTGTCCATATCATACTACCGCCAGACGGATATAGGGCATATAATGACCACTTTCTTTGAATAATGATTTTTCCCGAAATGAATTGTTTAGTAAAAAATGTTTAGCTTCATACGAAAGATACAAATAATGGTAATCAAATAAAGATGATCACTATAAAACTCCAATGACCTAGATGATCGATAAATCGTACTATGCCTGATTAAGGGTTAAACCCCTTTTGAGATTTTCATTTCGACCAATTAATAAAATTAATCTCTAAATTTATCAGTCGTAAATTAATGACTGATAGGTTAGGTCATAGGGCCTCTACTGATAGTAGTAAGTCATGTTGATAATATCACATATGCTAATGCTAACAAAATTCAAAGAAATAACGCTGATCTAGTAACCAATGATTAAATAAACTTTATGCTATCTGAGAAAGAAATCAATAATCAGTTAATATGTAGTTTTCGGAGACTATTGATTGCCTTCTCAGATTATTTTTTATGCCATAAAGTGACAAATAAGCACAAGATAACATAGATTCTTTTTTTTATGTTATAGTTTCTAGCTTTTTCCAGTTTCATAATTTATCTCATGCATATATTATATGATGCATACATAAGAAAATAAAAATGGGTAGAAAAATTAAATATAGGTATATAGTATGGTGTTGAACACATAGAAAATAGTTATAGAATTTTCGGTGTTTTGCTAACGCAAAAATTCTCTGATTACAAAATTTTAACTCGTTTGCTTACAAAATGATGGTGATGATCAATTAATCACTAAGTGGTCATTGGTGCTGATAAATAATCACTAATAATTATGAGATTATCAGTCTAATGAGATGGACTGGAAATCATTGCAGTCTTTGCTTTTATAGCTTTTTTTTTTTAATTTAGTATAGGAACTTACCAGGTATAATAAATAAGGTGCAATTGCTCCACCACCACTCGACAGTAAATTGCCCAGTGACATTCCAGATTGACGGAGACAAGTGGGATAAAGTTCCATATTGAATAAATAAATTACGTAATATGAAGCGACTATAGACAGTCTAGTAAATATAGTCATTGAGGTACCGACCAACCATGATAGATACCATTTACTCGTACCTGGTTAAAAAATATATATGAACAATATAACAATATATAACAAAAAAATATGTATGAAAATTTAAAGACTAGTATATTAGTCTTATTGCAGGATCAATTATTACTAACGCTTATTTTATACTTAATTCACTTTCACAATCATAATATTAATTATGAGCCTTACTAGTCACCCGCCCCGGCTTCAAATAGTATTTTTTTTTAATAAAATTGAATTCATTTTACACTCTGATAATGTAGCTTCCTAGAGATGAAAGAATAAATCAAATCTTTCTAGTTTATAATATCAGTTTTAATTTACTTTTGTCTGTCTCAGCAATTGCAAAAAAATATAGACTTAGGGTCTAATCTAATGTTGGCCCCATATAAATATTTTCACCACAGAAATAATTGTTTTTTTTTTTTTTGTCGCGCTTTTATAATATAAACGTACTAATCAAAATCATAACAGTTTTCTGCTTCGCTATGGTCGGAAACAAAAGAATATCCATTGTCAACTTCTTACCCTCTATTAAAAAAATGATTAGCTAAAAATTTTGTTATATTCGTTAGTTCAATACACTTACTATTTTCATAAAAAGCGATAGTAACCCATGATAACACAGTAAGTGAGTACGGAATCACTCCAGCATAGCGACGACCAACTCGGTCAGCAAGCCAAGCTCCGAAAAGTGTACCTGGAACTTCTACTGCTGATTGCCAAGCAAATTCTAGAAATGGATTGCCATCCAATTTTTCGCCAGACTTCATCATTAACACTGTATAGTTTATTGCTACAGATATCCTGTAAGATATTATGGAAATTCTTAATTAATTATATTTCTTTACTTGAATTTTGATGATAATGAAAGTTTCTCGAGTAAATGTATTATTGGCTGACCTCCTACTATATAAAATGGTAACCTGAACAATACTGTAGGAGTCAATCGTTCTTCAAGAAAAAATACTTGTCTTTGGTGCATCTATACTTAACGAACAAATAATCTTAGGTATCTTCATCATGAACATCATCTTCCTACCCTTATCCTAATTATTATTTGGCTTATCTTAGGTATCTTGTTCATATAAAAAAATTAACTGGACCATATCTGTACATGGTAGTTATTTAAGAAAAATTTATATTAGGGATCTTAATAAGCAGCAACTGAAGTTAAAATGATATTTTTTTTTCTATGTGACTGTTTATCTGTCTATGTTTATGTGTCGTCAGGTATCACACAAAAACTATTGCTTCAAATTGAACACGGTTTTCATCTGTTATGCCTTCTAAAAGTGGCTTAAGTTTTCCACTTATGAAATCTACGCATTTTTATATGCGTAGATTATTATAGTGTACAAAAAGTTAATGGAATGATAAAATGATGATGACGATAAATTGTATTTTAAAAACTCACCATAAATATGACTGTAAGATTGTATTTATTGCTAATCTCCGTCCAGAAAATAATGCTAAAGGGCCTATTATGGTATTTGCACCACCGGTGTCTGTAAATGGCGCACTATTCAAAATGTCTTTTTCCGTGTCTGACCCTAATCTTGTTTTATTTTCTTTTGCTATAATTTTTAATGTTCTCACACAAGCTTTAGATTTTCCTTGTATCCAAAGCCATCTAGGGGACTCTATCATTTTCCTTAAATAAAGTTATAATATACCTATGTAGAACAAATACTTGTACTGCTTCCACAAGTTTATCTACGAATACATGATAACTATATTTATTTAAATAGTACGAATTTAAATAGGGGTAACAAGCATTACATTATCATATCAGCCATTAATTGCCCACTGCAGAACATAGGCCTCCACTTTGGAGGGTTTTGCCAGTAGTTGCTACACTTGGCAGGTGAGTTGGCAATCGCATTAAGGCTTTAGTGACATTTTAGGAGGAACGCTGCTATCTATCTCTCGATGATTGTTTTATGATCATTGTATTATGATGAAGTATAAATCAAACGTTGTATGAAGAAATGTAAATATTCAAAGCCTTAATAAACTTACCATGAATAGAACAGAAAAGGCAACTGTGTCGCTGTTGTCACTATCATGAATATTTTCCAATCGCGTAGCCACCAATATAAAAAAGGCATTATAAACATGCTAGAACTATTAGCCAGGGATCGTAATGTAGCAGTCCTTGATCGACACTCGGGCGAAGATATCTCCATTGATATAACGGTAACGGTTTGCACTACTGACCATGATGGAATCCATGCCAAAATGCATCCGATTACAAAAAATGTAAACGAATAACTAAACGCAATAGATATTATTCGCCCAATAACAAGAAATACCAGCGACAGAATATATGTCCATCGGCGACCATATCTGAAAATAAATAACATAAAGTAAATGCTAAGTAAACGTTCCCAACAGGCTCTTTTCTCTAGTTACAACAATATAAAAACAATGATCTATTTGCGTTCATATGTCTGTCTTGTATATTTCTTGAAGACGTTTAAATATCTGGTTCATTTCCTGATGAATTTCTAAAAACAAGAATTTTGTAATATTGATTATAATGGTCTTGTGCTAAGTCAGGCCAGAATTTTAGGTCTCTTTTAAAGTCACACTCGCAGTACGGCCAAGCAACATTGACATGAAGACATGAACTCACAATGATGAAGATTTCTCACATTAACATTTTGTAACTAACATGTTTAAAACGATATTCAGTAATTTTCTTTGCTGCAGCCATCGCCAACTTTTGTTTTTGAGTAAAATATGGCTCGATCATGCGTTATGGGAAGGACTAGTGGTTACAAATATTATATACGAGTATTGTACATGAAATACGTACGTGTCTCCAAACCAGCCAAATCCTAATGATCCTATTGCTTCCCCAATTTTACTAATAGCCAATGTGTTAGCTATTTTCAATTCTTCTTTGCAAACCCAATTGTTTGATGAAGCAACAGTTGACTCGTACCAAGTTTGGTCATAATAATAATTATCACAATCTGTAAACATATATTGTTTATATATACACATATATTGTTTATATGTACATTTTCTCACAATTTTATTATTTCTTTTCAAAATTAATAGAGACCACACCACAATATTATTACGAAAACGTTCATCACAACGAACACAATAAATAAATATAGAACATTAACTTATTCGTTTATGACGAATACTACTCCATTTAGTCGTATACGAATTCATATATTTTCATTTTAGATAAATTAAGAAATAGCTCAAAAAATGTTTTTACATGACTTAGAAATGTATCACGTAATTACCTAGTATTTTATTTTATTTCGTGAATACGAAATCTATTCATCTTTACCTTTTGTATGATTATTTTCAACCGGATTTTCATACATTAAACAGCTACTAAATACAAGTTTCCCAGAAATATTGTTAGATCTGAAAATATTGTTAAATATATATATTATATAATTAATCATAGCGAATCCTTCGGTAACTATGCGTTAATTTTAAATAAATGTACTTAGGTATCATTATTTTGATGCCTCAATACATTTACATATAGGTACATATCTTCAAAAATAATATGAAATATTATATTTCATGAAATAAATATGTTAAAGTAACTCTTACATTGGTATATATTTAGACTTCCATTCAGTGTCACTAATATTCTCAAAATTTTCAGGAATTTGGCATCGATGTGGAATTATTACAAGTGCAAGAAATATATTTGTGTATGCCATACCCCATAATGTTGCGAACAAAAAATTATAGAATATATCAAACTTTTTTTGAAAATAGCCATTTTGCCCTATTTCTAAAAGAACACGATCATATACCGTTTCCATTTTTAATACGGATATGTTAACACCAATAATTTTTATATAATAGTTATATGTAATATAACACTATACTCCTCAATTCCACCATATATCTACAACTACATTATCGTTTCTTACTGCAAGTAAGACTTTGTAGTTATCAAGCATCTTGCGTATATTTAAACAACTGCTTATTATCTTCCATACTATCTCAAATAATACCTATCTTCTATATCCTCATAGATATGTCATTGAATACTAGCTGTTCTCTGCGGTTTTACTTACACGTTTTTTTTATGGAAATATTTAGGACTTTTGTTTTTAATGCGTATTTATTTATACTTGCCTTGTACAAAATTATGCTCCAATTTTTAGAGCCCGTAATATTAATCTTATGTTGATTAGTAAATATAAAATAAATAGTTACTTTACTATTCAATACTGTCCTTTCATGCAAAAAAGAGCTGTATCATGGAAAAATCGGACTCATCTTTTAATACAGTTGTCCCATTTCAATGAAACTTACATATATATATGATATCACAATTAGACAAACAGGCAATAAATTCTAAGAATGTTTTATTTGTGTTATGTTGCTTATGTTTTTAATATTTCCTGAAAATAAGTTTTTAAGTGGTTTTTAAGTTAAGCGGTTCTCTCTATCTACTTTTTTTTTATACCACTCTTGTACTACTTGGCATAAAGATAGAAAGATATACATATGTATATAAGTTTGAACACAGACTATGATCCCTACGATTTTGTTATAGTATTGATGATACTGATATATTCTTATCTTATCGATCTTGAAGAATCCATATGCGAAAATAAACTATCAAACAGACTGGATTCGACTCTTTAGTTTTGAAACCACCATAATATCTGTAATATTTTTCTAATATTACAGTTTGCAATATCAATTCGTAAATTAGAAATGGCGATATAGGGGCTCATTACTAGCAATCTTTTCTCTCAATCCCTATAATATTATTAAACCATCTTATTCGTCATACTCATGAACGGGTGCTGCTTGTCTTGATATCTAGAATAATACTTTTGATTATATTATATATTTATATTAAAATGTTTATTATACGCTATTTGTGATAGCTATCCCTTAACCTAATATTTTAATTTGATAATTTCGTGAAATTACTAGTTTATAGGCCCATCATTAACCAAATTTGTAATAGTTTTGATTTAAATCTATTCTAAATGGGAGGACAGGGATTGTTAGTAATGGAGTTTAATGAACTCATTGCTAGCAATACACCTTATCAGGTCGACCTCCACGTATTTCCCCCTGGATACCATTATTTTTTTTTACAACACAGGGGACAAACGAGCATGCGGCTCACCTGATGGTAAGTGACTACCACCGCCCATGATCACCCACAACACCAGCGGCATTGCAGGTGTGCTGCCGGCCTTTTAAGAAGGAATATACTCTTTTCTAGAAGGTTATGTTGTCGTATCGGTTCGGAAACACTGCTGCTGGAAGTTGATTCCAAAGAATGGTTGTGCGTGGAAGAAAGTGCCTTGAAAAACGCACGGTGAAAGATCGCCACTCGTCCAGATGATTGGGATGAAACTTTAGTTTGTGGCGGGTTGTACGGTGGTGAAAATTCGCAGCAGGTATCAATCCGAACAATTCCTCAGAACACTCCCCATGATAAATTCGGTAGAAGATGCACAGAGATGCAACATCTCTGCGCAGTTTCAGTGAGTCAAGTCGGACAGTAAGGCGTTGACTATCGATAATTCGAACCGCCCGACTTTGAATGCGGTCTAACGGAAGGAGTTGGTACTGTAGCGCTCCTGCCCACAGGTGAGAACAGTATTCCACATCCGGCCTGACTTGGGCTTTATATAATTTCAGACGGTGTTTTGGCATGAAATACCGTCTCACCGTATTGAGCACTCCTAACTTTTTGGAAGCTATCTTAGCCTTCTCCTCTGGATGACCGCAAAACTGGACATCGCAAGATATATCAACGCCCAGAATTCATATATCATCATGAACAATTCTTGTTGAATTCGTCACAATGAGCTAACTGACCTACTTCATCCTCACCTATCATCTGTTACTGGTGGCCCGCCAGTGTATACCGACAGCGCGGACGAGGTTACCATTCCATTATTACCCATTAAAAAAAAAAACTATTCTAAATTTATTTCACATTAGTTGTTAAAATAAAGATTTCGCTGTATTATCAAATTGAAATTTAAAATTTAATTTAAAAAATTTAGAAAAAGGGCGGCTCACAATCGATCTCCTTATTAAAGTAAGTATAATATATATATATATATATATATATATATATATATATATATATATATATATATATATATATTCCAAAATTCTTATTAAGCATATTTTTTTTGGTTACCCTGTCCTTATATTGCCGAAATTAATAAATTAATCTATGCAACCACCTAGAAGTATTAACCCAAGAACGCAAATGAACTTTCATAATGTTGTAAACTATTTAAAATAGTTATATCTCCTACTAAAATATCGATATCGATAAGTACTCTATATGACTTCTATAGCATAAAAGCATCAATTTCAAATTAACTAGTTTTATAGATTTCGTACAAACTTTTTTGGTCCCAAGACTGATGAATCAAACAGGACTAGTCTTGCATATGCTCGATTGTCTTTTACACAGATTTACTATAATGTACTTACGTAATCTAAGCCGTATTTACTGTACTAGCATTAGATTCTTTTTGTCTATGGAACGGAACTTTCGAATTGGTCAACGGGGAAATTTGTTTTTTTATTATAGCAATACCATCGACGGCGGTTGATTGACTCCGTTGGCTTGCCGCCTGCGCGATTTTTACAGATTTTCGCGCGTGACTAGTTATTTTATGTTTAATTATAAATAACATTCCATTATGGGTGCATATTTATCCGAACCTGTAACCGAGAAAGTGTCAAGCGATGAAGCAAATGAAAAATTAGAATGCGGCGCAAGCTCCATGCAAGGATGGCGTGTCAATCAAGAGGTACTGATTTTGTTTCATTGATATTCCTAGCGCTATTGTTACTCTCACATATCATATTTATTTTCTTTATATTCTTACCATTCTCAATTAGATTATTACATAAATTACGTCTACAATGAATATGGTGTTTTAAATCCCTTTATAGTTTACTTACAATTTTTATACCACATGTAAAGCTATATGTACTAGTTCACCGTCCGTAGTAAATGCCATATCGAGGTTATATTTGTTTAATATTTATTATTATCATTTCAGGATGCACATAATACTATCCTAGATTTTGACGTGAACACGTCTCTTTTTGCTGTTTATGATGGTCATGGTGGTGCCGAAGTTGCTACGTACTGCTCTCAAAAATTGCCAGAATTCATTAAAAATACAGACGCATACAAAAATGGAGAACTAATTAAAGCATTAGAAGATGCATTCCTTGACTTTGATGCTAATATTGCTACAAAAGAGGTTATGGATATCCTAAAGGAATTAGCAGGTCAGTTGGTGTAACTTTGTATTAATAACAAAATACAAATGACAATATTTAATATGCAATTGATCTTAATAATGTCTGATTTAAGTAACATTCAACTTTTAACTCCATAATAATTATGTTAAAATTATAGACATAAAAACTTATAAAAATCTGATTATTATTGTATTAACAAACCACAAATACCACTATAAAATATTCATAGATTATTTTATGATATTATGAAATGTAATTAACAATAATGTAACATCGAAATTTATATATCATAATTTTTTTTTTCATTTTTAAAAATAAAAAAAAAACTAAGCTCAGTATTATGGTGCAAACTTGAGTTAATCTCTATAGACATAACAACTGGTACAAAGTTGAAAGACTAATCTCTAGTGTCAAATATTATCTATATAATATTATAAAGAAGAAAGACTTGATTCATTGTTTGTTTATTTGTGATGGATAAACTAAAAAAAGCTACATTATCAGTGAGTAACATAGGCTATATATTATATTAAAAATCCTATCTATCCTTATGAAGCCAGGCCATATCATTAGTAGTAAATAAAGCTGTAATATTAGGAATACTCTAGATTATTGTCTATAAGTATCTTACCACCACTAAATACATGTGAGACAAGAAAAGGAAAATGATGAATTACCATAATTTACAGCAATCTTATATATGTAGTTGTGGGTGTGATGCTTTGTGGAAATAAGGTATTAAATTCCCAGTTGAGCAAATTTAAGAAACAAACTTCTGAATTTCCTTATGTCTGGGTGTTTTTTTTTTTAATGTGTAGAAATGGCATGGTAACCTGCCTGTGCTATTGTTATACACTGGTGGAGTACCAGTGATAGACGAGGATGAAAAGGCAGGTCTGTTAGCCCATCATGACGAATTCCACTAGAATTAACCACAACAATTTTCAGGTAGAACCGCATGGAAGTCAACCTGATAGGGTGGATTCCTTGCAATGGGTCATTTAGACCCCATCACTAACAATCTGTGTAAAAAAAGTGTTCTGATTTGTGGATGCACATTTTTATTGCCTGATTCCTTGTAACACTTTTGCTATTGTAGCTTAAGGTGCAGCTAATTGATGTGACTGTGTAGTATTTAAATATATACAAAAATAATTAGCAAATAAAATATTTAATTGCATCCCAATTTCAGTAGTGTGACCATAGCCTTAACTTAAAACTAGACTAGTACTAAAAAGAAACTTAAAACCTTGTAATATGCTACCTCACAAACAAAGAATAAACCAATATGCAGGTGTGCAAGCTTCTAAAAAACCTTATGGGTGCTCAGGCTCTTTTGATAATTTGGCACATCATCATTATTTTAGCTGAAAGATGGGCACTGCTTGCTGCACAAGCAAATACAATCTAAACAACATGTAATGAGATGAGGATTATTTATGTCATATGTAGTATCATGGGTACTCCACACCCACTGTTTACCCCTCATGGGTGTTGAAGCCTTCGAGCATCCACAATATGCTAATATATATACCATATCCATAATATATTAAAATAACAATAGTAAGATTTTTAATTATTGTTATTTTTGTCATGTTTAAAGACACTGCTCTTTTATGGAGGAATCACATTTTCCACAAATATTTTGGATACTTAATATTTACTTACAACAAAGTTGCCTTACAATTAAGGTAAGTGATGTCAATAAAGAAAGCTATGGTATAAATAAAAATACCACATGTTGAACCCATGCACCAAGGAAGAAGGGAAAAATTATATTAGAAAAAATATTTTGCAAAGTTTATTCTTCATTTCAATTAGATATTTTAGAAATAAGAACATTTACAATTCATTACAATATACTTATAAAGACAGATGAAAGTTTATAACTATTACTTTGTTTTAATATACTAATTAATCATACAGGTGAAATAAACCCACCTGGTCCCAGCGACAATGAAGAATCTGATGATGAAAATGTTAGTAATCTATACCAAGAGGCACACCTTCCTTTGCAGGTAAAGATATCTTCTTTTTCAACATGAGTGTAGTATTTTGTTTTATATATATAATGTAATGTGTAACATTTTCATATTTGTTACTGATTAAAAAATATACTACAAAATTTAGATAGTCATATGTTTATCATTATAACAATTATTAGTTAAACTGTCTGCATTGACTTATACAATATAATCTCTTCAGTGTAATTATTGTTTAACAAAGCTGATAAGACTATTGATTTTTTAAATTTTATACCTATGCAATACTGAAAAATGCAATATGCAAAACTGTATAAAATATAAGTGATTTGGTTTATCAAATCCCTAGCAAAATATAAAAATTGTGACTATTATTACAGGAAGTACTGGCAAAATATGAGAACAAGCTCAGTACACTTCACCGTGCTAGACTTGGAGATACAGCCACACCCCTTTCCCCATGTTTAAGGGCTAAGAAGAACTCTGATGAACCTGGAGGCTCTGGTAAGTATTTTCATACAGCGCATCACAACAAATGGTGAATGACATATTCAAATCTTTGACATACTTTAAAGGTGTGTTCTAACTTCTACCAATAAAAATTTATATTTGCAAAGTAACATGGGTTAATAAACAGTACAAAAAATTTATAATTTTTAAATATATTTTTTGTGTGTTGTATATTTTGTAAAAGAAAATTTCTTTCTTTCTTTCTAAAGAAGTTTGTCCAGACCAGTTGCAAATACATGACATGTAAACAATATAATATATTGTTTATATTATAATAAAAATTCTCCCTTTTTGAACAATAGCATACAATTTTCTAAAAGATATTAGTTAATGGATGTATATCTCAATAACAGGTAGAGGTGCATCAAGTTCTAGTACTGGATTTACATTCGCAGCAGGGTCAAGCTCGGAGCAATCTGCTGATGCTGCTTCATCCAGTAAAAATGGGCAGTCAACAGAGAAAGAGGAAGGCAATCCAGAAGAAGACACTGGTGGAGTATCTTCAACAAACTCAAATGAGGAAGATAAAGATTTGAATGGAGAGGTATTAAAATCAAAATTTATCACAATTTATTCTTACTTTTGTAAAAGGAAAGAAGAAAATTTTTTTTTGTAATTTATTTGTCATTGAGTAGTGTCTTTAAGATTTATGTAACTATACATATGTTCCTGTAAAAGCACAAGTTATTAAAAAATTATTGTAATATATGTAATCTTTACTAATAGCGTTTGAAAGTGTTTATTTATTTAGTCATGTATGTTCCTATTTGAATAACAACTACAGGTATCAACAAGTGAGCCAGGTAAAAAAACAGATGAACAAACCAAAATGGATGTTGACAAATCAAACACAACAGCACCAGACAGTTCTGAAGATAATTGTGACCAACCAGAACAGAGTGAAGATGCCAAGAAAGTAGCAGTTAAAGAAAATGGTTCTGACACATGCAATGGGGAAGTTACAGATTCAAAACAAGCTGAGGGTGAAGAACACGACATTACTTCATCAAATGGTTCCACCACTCCAGTTAAAAGTGGAAAAGCCAAAGGTATATCAATATTTATGTAAATAAATTGTGTAAAAAACCTCATTGTAATATTTTTAAGTCAAAGCATTATAAGCAAAAGAAATTCAGTATTGATGATCTCAATCTTTTTTTACATACATCTTTTGCTTATTTATTTACTTAATTAATACCAAGGTTAACAAAAAAATAAGGAAAAAAAATAGTCATACTATTATGTTCATTAGTTATATTAGTTAAATAACACGCGATTGTTTTTTTATAATGCAGAATGAAAAACAAGGTGATAACATACAGGTATACAACATACACGTAATGACCATAGTACCTCATTTGTTGCCAATCCTGAAGACAAAGGGATATTACTATAATTTTGACTTTACTGTACCTAGTTAGTAATTTCATTCTATTTATCTTTTTACAAATCTAAACATACATGTGTATTACATAATCACGGCTGTTTAGAACCAGAAACACTAGTGGAAGAGAGGTACTAACGATATGTGCTATCAGTTTAAAAACGTAATTTAATTTAAAATTAATTAACAAATTTAATTTTTAATGAGTTTAATACAATAAAAGTACAATCACCTAGATATAACACTCCTTATTGTGCTGACAAATTATACAATTGTTGTTTTAATTCTAGACAAAACATCACCTGTATCGAGTTCGGATAAAGTAGTACCAGAAAGGCCTAAAAAAGCCAAACTCCGACGTGCTGCAGTAGCCGTATACGAATCTCTGCTGCGACAGGCTGAAGATGATGATGAAAGTGATTCCAATGACGAGACATTTGAGGGTGGCGAGATTAATTCTTCAGACGAGGAAAATTGCAATGGCGTGGAGGAATCCTCAAATGACGGTAAATATTTTAAAAAACTTTTTATTTTATAAAACTATCTGTAAGACACAGTAGATAGAGAGATAAATTTGTCAATCATGTATATCCTTACATAGATGTCTTGTTTCGTTGTCTATAATAATTTATTTCATACACATTTATTCAAAAGACTTGGTTTTACTCTAATGGATTTGGCCTATTTTATTATTTATATATATATGGGTATAATAATCTGAAAGACCAATACATCTTCTTTGGTGCTAACATTCTCCTACGTTCACATATAGTTATTTGGGAATAGAACCGGCCGTGTGGTCCTGGCATAGAATAGGCCACCCCTTCCTATCCCATGGGTGTCGTAAGAGCCGACTAAGGAAATGAATTTAATGATAGAGATGGGCAGCAGCGGTCCTCTTAAAACATCTCCAAAGCCTAACTGCTGTTACAAGTCCGTCTGCAAAGTGTGGCAACTACTGGAATGGCAAACAAGCTGACGGCCCACCTGATGGAAAGTGGTAACCGTCGCCTATAGACATTAGCAGTGCCATGGACATAACAGAGTATACTGTTTCACCCATTATACCCCCATGCGTTGCCATTCCTGAGGACTCAGGTGTTATTCCTCTGTACCCAGTAAATTCACGCTTATGTTTAACAGTGGACAGTTAAAGGCTAATATGAATAGAACCAAGAGATACCGGTACCGAAAATCCCGGATTTTTTTTTTATTGAAAATTTGACTATTCTAAAGAATCGGGATATAAAAATCAAGTATCGAATTTTTGATACTTTCGTGAATAAAAATTATTAATCTTATTCAGCAATTTTACAATAATGACTGAGGATGTAAGCAATAACACAGTTTAAGTTACGTGCTACCAACGCGGGACAGGTAAAACGAACCTTGTGTTCATCATGCTACCCAGTCTTGTAATCTGCAAAGCTTTTACATTTCGTGTACTTTTATTAATCATATTTAAAAATTGATTTTAGGTCTTGTCATAATAATTAGGGTTCAAAAGAAGTTGTGGTTATAATTATATGAGTATGGGACTCATTCTGTGTAGCGGATCTGTTATAGTGCCATATATAACAAATAAGAACATATTATGTTCTTATTTGTAATATCTAATAAATCTTCCTAACATCATTATTAAGAACCGAAAACCGCAATTCTCCGAAATAGGCCGGTTTTTTATTCCCTAATAGTTATACATATGTGTATCCATCATTTCATAATCTTTTCTAATATTAAGAATGCAGCCTTACTCCTCAAATTCTGTGCCATTCTTGCATTTCGTCATTCTGATATAAATAATTGTTTTTATAATAATTTTACTAGGTGAAGGGGAAGAAGAGGAAGATGAAGAAGAGTATGAAGCTGAGTCTAGTGATGATGATGGCGAGGAAGACATCAGTATGACTGAAGAACCTGGGAATGACAGCGGCTGCACAGCTGTTGTAGCATTACTCAAAGGTAAGTAATTAGCAGACACTGACCCTAATTATAATTATTCAATGTTATGTAAGTTATTTCCATGTTGTCCATGCAATGATGGAGTAATGATACAAGGTCTCATCGCTTTTTTTCTCTCCAAGATATCATAAGAGACATGTAAGGGTATAAAGCACAATTATATTGATCTTTTTAATAAATAATATTCTCTCTTTACATTATCAATCAAATAAAACAATGATGCTTTGATTCACCCATATTGTATTAGCATAAGAGATTGAATGCACCAATACTGCTGAAAGTTACTATTCTTTCCATCATTTATGTAACATAATTGCAATTTATTTTACAGAAAATGAATTATATGTGGCAAATGCTGGAGACTCTCGCTGCATCATCTGCAGGGAAGGCAAAGCCATAGATATGTCCATAGATCACAAGCCAGAGGATACCCCAGAGCATGAACGTATCACAAAAGCTGGTGGCAAAGTATCTAATGATGGTCGCATTAATGGTGGTCTTAATTTATCGCGCGCTATTGGTGACCATTCATACAAACAAAACAAAAATTTGGGTCCAAAGGAGCAAATGATCACAGCACTCCCTGATGTCAAGACGTTAACCATTGACCCTGAAAAAGATCAATTTATGGTTTTGGCTTGTGATGGTATTTGGAACTTCATGTCTAGTCAAGATGTTTGCGACTTTATCTTACCAAGACTGGTAGAAGGCAGAGAAAGATTATCCCAGATTTGTGAAGAGGTCAGTTTAAAATTATTGCTATTATTTAATGGGAACTTACTATTTGTTTGATTCATTGCAAGTGCAGTGAGTGTGCTACTTTAATGATAGTAACTTTAACAAAAAAGAAAATATTTACAGTAATTAACACTCCTGTATCTATCATCATGCAGGAGTAAGTAGATTAGCACTAAATAGATCGAGTAATAGTAACAGCATTATAGCGGCGCCGTCCCTAAGGCGATAGTGATCATCCAATCTACTAACTGGCAAACATGATTAGAACAAAAAGCATTAATGCAATTTTCATATTTCTAAAAATTCATTATGTTAATAGTGAATTTATAATATATTTATACTATTTTTTATAAATATCGGTTAAATATTTTTTTAAAACATCCTGGTTGAGTTCTAATTATTCTTATTTTATATACAGATGTTTGACCATTGCTTGGCACCAAGCACAATGGGCGATGGAACGGGCTGTGACAACATGACGGCTATTATTGTACGGTTTAAGAATGGTATTATTTCCGACGTTGCGAAACACACAAGCAGTACTGAGGGCACAAAAAAACGAGCCGCCGAAGAGGAACCCAGCCAAGATGAACAACAGGAGTCCAAAAGGCAAAAGTTTGATGATACCCTATCAAGTTCAGTAGTGACTTCGAGTGTGTAGATATAGGCATATAATCTAAGGATTAACAGTGTTCAAGCCACGTATAGTATTGTGAAATGATTGTTGGGACTGTAACACTAAATGCCTCTTTCATTTGGGATTTCATTAAACATATTTAATTTTTATAATTTCACAGGATATCTTCCTGCTATTTGACATTTATGGATGATAGATATCGCATCCAAAAATCTCTTCTGCCAATGAGCAACACATTAGACTTAGTACATTTAAAGATAAAAATGTTTATTTTGCAGCAGGGTGAAGTGGGAGACAAAGATCTATAATATAATTTTCAATTAATTAGTCATGTAGTTGTATCAACAAGTGATAGAAATTATGCATGCACATAGCTTTGAGTACCTAATGAAGTCCAAAAAATTTAGATGAATACAAAATTGTAATAATTCCATATTTATTTATATATTCTCTTAAACATGAAACTGCTAAAAAGTATAATATTGCGTCATGTTTTTACAATTTTGTGATTTTTCCTTATTATCATTTTACGTTATTTCAAAATCTAATCAATGTTTATTTATATCACAATGATTTCAAATTTATAGTACTCAATTTTCTAGCTTAATTGTATTGAGTGGACTTTGAAATAATTTAGTTATAAAACGATAATAAGAAAAACCACAAAATTTGAGAGTAGATCGCGATTTTTTTTTTCAAGCCTTAAGACGACAGTCTTAAATCGTTTTCCAGATGATTATGTTACAGTAGAATCTCGATTATCCAAATCAAATTATACTGAAAATCAAGATTACTCAGTATAATCGAAAATCCGGATAATCGGTTTCAAAGTCAAATCGAACAATTAAATTTTAATATTTTTATTATGTAAAGGATTTTACATACGGCATGTAGACAATACGATATAAAAAAAAATATGAGCTATAATATAATTTAAAATTTTGGTTGAAAATAATTAGTTGACGTAATTAATTACATTTTTTTTTTTTATTTTTAATTGTCTACAAATAAGTCGGTTGTTGAAACACTATCTCGCAACAATTGTGATATAAGAGCGGGATTACTCACACGTTGGGCGGGAAACTTGTAACATGTGTCGTTGTGCCGTGAAATTATTTCGAAATCGGTAAATGAGCCGTGAAGAATAAGTCCGGATAATCGATGTTCGAATAATCAAGATTCTACTGTACTTAAAAAAAACTTGAGCAGATAAATGGATTATTATCAAAGCTATGTATTCTACTTTATGGTGCGGTAACATTTTGGTAGTTTTAATCAATTGGGGTGCATACTCGCCTAAACCGCACTGATTTATTATTGAAAATATTTATTTGTGACAACAAATATTTTTAAGAATATTCGGGAGCTAATAAATTGATTAAAGAAATCTTTAATATTTATTTGTCAATGATTTAATTAAATGCTGCTTGCAAAATGTTCATTAGTTATTTATACCTTATTAGTCACGTTTATTTATAATAAAAGGAAATAATAATTTTGCATTATTTGATTAAATCATGACAACCATATTGCTGAATGTTATTGAAGATTTCTATTTAATCTTGAGTATATATCTACTAACGAGTATACAGCTTTAGGGGAGAAATTTCTCTTATGGATAAACATGAGAACTGACTTGTTGATGTAGTAATTAGTGTGTAAGCTGTAAGTGTAAGTTGCAGAAATATTGTCTTAAATTAATTATATTCCAATTTTTTTTAAGGATAATGTGTATTTCTGGTTGCTTAGGAGGCAGGTTTTCTTAAGTATGTTTTTCAGGTGTATTCTAATAATAATGGCTAGGTATAAATCACATGCTGGCTAAGGACCTTAAGGGTATGATAAACAATGTGCCATTTTTAAAGGCCGCTGATAGACTAATATATTTTTCTTGTTACACACTTTGCTTTCTTGTGCAATCTTAAAAAAAATAATTGTTCAAAATGTAATGATGTTCTGGCATTAAATATCTGTGAAAATTTGTGAAATTATAAATTGCATACATTTTCATTTTGTATAACAAAAAAATGTTTTAGGTCACTGAAAATCCGTACAGGTGGAACAACAGTACCAAGACGAAAATATTGATTTTTTTTTTTAAAGAGGACAAATGTAAATCTGATTTAATAATCTTTACCAAAAATGTACTTATTTGACATTAATTAAATCCAGATGTACATTTATGATTTTATGAAAAAATTGTTACATTGGCATGTTCCTACTGTAATGTTAGAATTGTTCTAAATTAAAATCGGAATCAAGGAATGTATATTTCAATTATTTATCTGTGTTACTCTGTAGTAATAAGTAGTTATATTTTTGTAATCACAGGTATTGTAAAAATAAACGCATACTACATATTTATGTTAATAAATTCCAGTTCCTTACATTCTTAAATTGACGGCGTGATGCAGAAATAAATTATGGAAATAATCCATTAATTTACAATTCGATTGTAGAAACTGTTTCCATTATAATGTGTGTTTCAGTGAAAATTACATTTTTACAGACTGAATTTAGTTTTATTTTATGATTCTATTTTATTTATATTAGGAATTAAACAATAATTTTGTTTTTCAACCGACTTCAAAAAGAAGAAAATATGGTTGTATATTTTAAGTTTATATATTCGGTCGTATATATTTTTTGTATTTGTTGCCTTATAACAACATCAGTTGTAAATCACTTTAGATTTTTTTTTTATCTGAACGGATATGTTTACAGATTGGTCTTGTAGAAATTTAATCAAAATCGGTAAGTTTTTAAATTAAAATGACTTTTTTGCCACAATTAAAGTCCGTTTATTGTGAAACTCTATTAACAATATATAAAGCTAAAAAAAGCATGCAAATGACAAATTTACATAGAGCAAGTGTTTTCCTTCAAAGAACTATCTAAGTTGTGTTAGATATTCTATAGTTTCCACTTGCGTTGCTTCTAAAATCTGCAGCGCATCATATTCACTGTCTAGTTGTTCTAAAATCATTGTCTTGTCATTAATTTCTGCCTGTATAGAGAAAGAATATACGTTAGACGCAAGTACAAATCCCACTTCATATTCGTCTTCGATTTTTTTCATTTTTCGTTTTAAATTATCCTGTATAATATTATTAATACAAAAACAATAATTTATACTGTTACATTGTAATGTCTATTTATAATTTTATTAGTAAAAAGTATTTGAACGTAAATAGGTGCGGGAAGCGGGGTCTTTTTTTGTAGATGAAAATGGAATAATCTCCCTACCTGCGTTATCAGGTTACGCTAGCGGCGCACCAGTGATAAGTGATAGTGGTTTCCAGGAGGAACCGCGTCGAGGTCGACCTGTTAGGGTATATTACTAGTAATGGATATGTTTTCTTTATTGGGGTGATAATGAAATGGTAACTCCGTCTGCGCTATCGGTATACGCTGGCGGGCACCAGTAAACAATGATAGATGACAATGAAAGCAGGTCAGGTAGCCCATCGTGACGAATTCCACTAGAATTAACCACGATGGTTTTCAGGGGGAACCACGTGGAGGTCGACCTGATAGGGTGTATTGCTAGCAATGGGTCAGTCAGACCACATTACTAACAATCCCTTTCCCCCCAGTAATGGGTCTGTTGAAACTCACTACTAACAATCCCTGTTCACCCCGGGAAGCGAGGTTTATGGATTGAATGTCTGTGCTAATGGTTTATGCTGGGCCAGAAATATTGGCGGACACCAGATATGTGAATGATAGATAAAGATGAAGTAAGTTGACCAAATTAGCTGCTTTGGCAGAGATCGAATACGGAGAGGATTCTATTGCTGTGTGACAAGTAGTAATTTAGGGGCGTTTGCCACTCATCCAAGAATCAAGAAGAAGAAGAAGGAAAAATCCACGATCAACGGGGCACGCTGTAGGAAATATCTGTCCACGCAAGGAGCAATCTACTTAGATAGGCCTTTGCTCATATTCTATGCCCACTTGGGCATAGAATATGAAAACGAAGTCATGGACAAGATTCTACAGTGGGAAAGCGTAACATCGTGGGGTTTTACCCAGTATAAGACCGGTAGTGCCTACTCGTTTTCCAGGGACGAATAGGTCTCTGCGACGGATTTCACCACGTAAAATTTAGATGTTCTATTACTAGCATTAATAGTTATAACAATATATATGATAATGATATAGTACATTACTGCAGCGGCCAGCAGCACGTTCGTCCAACAATGCCTCAGTTGCTGGCCGCTGCAGTAATGTACTATAATATGTGGAGTACAATATTATTCCTCTCCATCCAAAGGTTGCCTGGAAGAGATCGCTTTTAGCGATAAGGTCGCCCATTGTTTTCTCATTGTAATTGTTTACATTTATAATAAATTTACTATTGTAATCTTTTGAAAGAAATAATAAAGAGTATCTATCTGTGCTTACTTGGAAGGGGGATTGTTAATAATGCTAGCAATATACCCTAACTGATTGACCTCTAGAAACCACTGGTTTAGTTAGTTTCGTCACTATGGGCCAACTGACCTGTTTTCATCCTCAACTATCATTCGTCACTGGTATCTCGCCAGAGTACATCAATAGCGAAGGCGGGTTATTATTTCACGTATAACCATTGAAAACTAAAAAAAATGTTATTGTGGGAGGGGTGATATTATTAGTAATGGAAATTAGTAGCTTCTATGCGAGCAAAACACTCAGTTAGGTCGACCTACTCGCGGCCACCCTTGGAAACCATCGTGTTTCATTCCAGGTGAATTCAACACGATGGGCTAACTGATCAGCATTTTCATCCGCATCTATATCATCCCTCACTGGTGCTCTGCAAGCGTATACTGTTTTTTTTTAATGGGTGATAATGGTATGGTAACCCCGTCTGCGCAATCGGTATACACTGGCGGAGCACCAGTGGAGAGGGATGACAGATGAAGATGAAAGTAGGTCAGTTAGCCCATCCTGACGAATTAAACTAGAATTAGTCACGATGGTTTCCAGGGGGAACCACGTGGAGATCGACCTGAGAGGGTTTATTGCTAGTAATAGGGCTATTTTGACCCCATTACTAACAATCCCTTTCCCCCCAGCGTATACTGTTGGCACAGATGGGATTACTATTCCATCGTCATCTTAAAAAAATGCTTACTTGCAACTTTGCTTGTTCAGATTCTCTTTCTTTAGTAATGGACTTTAGAAGATTTGTGGAACCAATGGCAGCCATTTTTTGTTTCTCAACGTTATCACCTAGTTCTTTTAGCATTTCTAATAATGAATTTATTATTGTCCCAAAATCCTCGACTTCTGTAATAAAGAAATATTGAGTATGCAGAAAAATTATTGATACTAATAAAATTTAGGGAATATTACCGGTATTATTTCGCAATGTATGCATAGGGCACATTCATGACAACTTTCAATCAGGCGTAGAGAAGAGCTGAGTGGGTCATGCCCACTCAGAACAAAAAGTGAAGCTTTCTGATATAAGAAAAACAAGTTCCAACCTGTCTTTACTTATACGAGAACACTTTTCATTGTGTATAAACCTTTTTAAAAATTACAACTTACTAGTCTCATAATCTTTACAAGTATCTTTTACATCTTCAGTTTCTTTAAGCACAGTCGGTTCTAGAACTCTAATTTTATGGATATCATCGTAATATAAATGCGCTTTCAGTAATTCTTCTGCCATGTTGTAAATATATTGGAGATAGATATTATTAAATTTTAAGAGGTAATTCAGTATTTATCAGCCTGCATTTATATTACAGCAGTTGCTAAGCAACGGAAACTAAAATATAACGCCAAGAGCTTAAGTAGCTCCTATACCATATCTATGGTACCTAGCGAGCTCAGTCCAATTCACAGATCCAATCCTTACGTGAAAATAAGTTTATTTCTTTGTAGCCTTATAGCGCCTTAAGGACTTAACCAATCGTTATAAAATTTGATATACTACATGGAATAGAGAAGGATATAGGCTACTTTTAGGGGGGGGAAGGGATTGTTAGTAATGGAGATTGAGAATGCCATTGCTAGCAATATACCCAACCAGGTCGACCTCCTCGCGGTTCTCCCTGGAAACTATCATGTTCAGTTTTCCGGTTCCGTTGTTATAAGGCCAGTGCCAACTTTTATAACGTAGTGATTACTTGTAGGCATGTGAGAACAATGGAAAACAATCGAAGAATAACAATATTTTTTCTTTAATTGATTATTATTATTATAACCAAACTATTAATATAAGTTTTGTCAACAATTAATTTTGTTTAAAATAAATAATCGATTTCTGCGAAAACATCTATTTTTACTATTATATAAAAATCTACATGCTTTTCATATTCCAATACAAATAGTTAAAAATTTGTTTAGAAAAGCTGATAATAAAGGTATATTACGATTAGAGTATAGAAATACACTCATATCTAAAGAGTTAAATTATAAAAGTCCATGTGAATTGTTAGTGGGTAAAAAAATTCAAGAATTGCTTCCAATGATTTGTAAACCTAATATTGAAATTTAAGAGTACAAAAATCATTGTATGTTAATGCACGTAAACAGAAGAGTTATTATGATAGAAATTATAGAGCCTTAGATGATTTGGAAATGGGACAATAATAAGAAACCTAATCAATATGCACAGGTAATGTCAAGAGATGTAAGACCTAATTCTTATAAAATACTTGCAGATAATGGACAAATATTAGCAAGAAATAGAAGATATTTAATTAAGAGCGGAAATCAGGAAAAATTGAAAATTGTTCCTATAGATAATAATAGTAATGAATTTGAGAATAGAGTAGAGTAAGTGATAGACAAAACAGATAAAGTTTATGAGGTAAAAATTCTAATATTAATTTTGATGATTCCTGTACTAGAACACAAAGTCCAGAGAATCATTCTCAGGAACGATTGGAAAGTAGGATCGGTAAAAATAATCATTGGTTGTATACCAGATTTGGTAGGTCTATAAAGAAACCAGTCTATCTTCAAGAACGTCTTGTAAAGTGAGGAAATGTAATGTTACAAAGTTAATCTATGATAGCTTTGTCTATGTCAGTCAGTCTTTGTAAGTCAGTCATTAAAAATTTCAATGCAACATGGAAATATTTAGTATTTGTAATAATTGCTTAAAACAAATAAAAGTTACTTGAATAATGGTTGTTTATTTAACATTATAGCGTTGTTTATAAAATTGAAACTTACTTCAAGTTTTTTTTCATCCATCACATAGATAACGCTGTTTATGAATATCGATTTTAACGCGTAATTTAAAAAAAGTAAAATTAAAAATTGATTAATATTACTATGAAAATTGATTATAAGAATACGATTATAAGATAATAGTATCGATTTAAATAAAATCGATTGTTTTTTATCATCTCTAATTACTTGCTCTGTGCTGGTGGGTAATTTGTAGTTTCTCTGTGTACTTTTATTTGTTTTATTGTTTACCACCACTTATAATAAAGTTACGTCGGTTGAAAAGTAAATATATATAACGCTGTTTATTACTCCCTTTCCATTGTCCTTTGTATTTAATTATTTAATATTGTTTGAATCTTTATTTAGTTTGTGTAGTAATATTCAAACCTTCATGAGGAGTAAAGTAGAGTTGTCGCTTTGAACATGGAAGACTTGACGCAGAATGAGAAGATAATATGGACGTGCTGGGATGAAAAGTCACCTAGAGATGTTGTACGAGAAGCTGCCGCAAAAGGCACGCATATCAACTTGGCGATAAAATATCTAATGGAAAAAAATGTTTGGAATGAAAGTATAGCTAAAGAATGGTTTATCGCGGAGGTAAAATATATTACTACCCATTTTATTTTACTTTGAGATACTCCTACATCACAAAGTCATTATATTTTTTTTTGATGGGTGAAAATGGTACGCTGGCGGAACACTAATGAAGGGTGATCAATGAGAATGAGGCCAGTTAGCCCATCATGACGAATTCATCAGGTATTAACCATGATAGTTTCCAGGGGGTACCGCAAGGAGGTCGACGTGATTGGGTATATTGCTAACAATGGGATTCTTAGTCTCTATTACTAACAATTCCTTTCCCCCCAGACATTATATTTATCTGCAACTTCATTATCAACTAGAAGTACCCTATGTCCTACTTGTTACTTACATGCCAAATTCTATAACAATTGATTAGGATTGGATTAACAAATGAGTATTCTCAATCTAATAAAACTCGTGTTTAAATAAGGTTCAGGGAGGTCCACTGAGAATTGTAAATCACCAAATCCACCTATATTTTTTGTTAGTTTTAATTTATGAGTCTTATGTTTTAAGGTCAAAGCATGGACTGTCCAGCTTCTGTTGAGAAAACAGATATTCAAAGTGCTTCATATTCTGAACAAAGTGCAGGTTAACCCTGAAGAACATTTAATGACATTAGCTCAAGATTCTGCCAGTATTGAATATAGAGATTTCATAGTTGACAATATTGAAAAATTATCAAAAGATATATTACCAGAAAATGTTGACAAATGGCAAAACTTTAGAAGACACTGGAATTTACTTAGATATTTGGAGAAATCTTTTGAAGTTGATGGTACATTTAAACAAAACAAGGTTTTTGGTATTGGTACAGATAGAATAATAGTAAATGAGAGTGAAATAAAAGCTTTAACAATAAATAAAATTGAGAAATATCCTGCACAGTGGAAGAGTAGGGTTTCTACTGCTCTATTTTTTGATACCTTTGGTAAGATGTGTTTAAAGTTATAAAGTTTACATAGGTATTACCTACTTGGTAAGAAATTATATAATAATTGATTAATAATTTGAAATAGTATGTGTTGTTTAGACTTTTTTGATGATTTGGTTTTTATTATATATATAATATATATTTGCATGCATTTTAATAATTACACTTTTTTCAGAGTTCTCACTGTTAGACTTCTCATCTCCACTTGAAGTTTGGAATTATTTGGTAGAACATAATAAAGCTATGGTTCTTGTTCGATGGATTAATGTGCAGACATCTGAAGTGGTGCGTGACATGAATGCTAGGTACAATTTCTTTAATAATGATAATTTTTCAACAAAAATGTTGAATGTTGATACTAAAGGATTTAACAATGAAGTACTAGAGAGATTAGATACAATTTTTCGCAACTGGCATATTAATAATGACATGATAGATAGTGTTTCTAATAGTAATTGTTTTCCATATACAAAAATGTGCATATATGATACATTATGCTCTTATGGAATTGTGAATAAAGATGAATGTAACAATCTATATAAAATAATAGCGAGACTAGCCCGTACACAGAATTTGCGGCTTATAGAAGACATATTTTCAGAATCTTGTTCTACTGTGACCAAACAACAATTTTATGTTGAACTTGCAAAATATTGTGTGAAAAACAAACTGTACAAAGTATTGACAATGTGTGTAGAAGGGAACATATTAGACACAGACCTGTCAGATGTAGAACAAAATGCTAAAGATTGCATTGAGCTATGGTTATTATTCAAAAGTATTGAACAGACTTCAGATCGGCAGAGTCATGTATTGCCAGTTTATAAAACCTGCCAACAGATAGCTAAAACTGATATTGACAACTATGTCTCTTCAAATCCACTTTTAGTTCTTGGTATGATTTTACTAGAAGACAATGCAAAATTATTCGATTTATTTTCTAAAGAAGAGTTTCTGCAATTTAAAGATTTTAAATTGCCAAATATGAAGTATAAACATAAACTTCCTCATTTGTATAATGTTTTTAAGAAATTTAATGATGAGAGCCAACCATTTGTAACAAAGGATGTGAATGTTTATCAACTATTATCTGGTTATAGGGGTTTAGATGTGTCAAAAATATTTGAATTCCAGTTGATAAATCAAAATACTAAAAGTCTTACCTCTGACAAACCAGACAGACGAAGTCTGGGCAGCCTCTTACCGGATGATGTTGATGTTGATGCAACTAGTATAAAAACATTATCACAAAGACCTATAGACATGCCAGATTTTGCAAATGAAAAACTCATGAAGAGATATGGGTATGTGGCTAAATTAAATCATGCATATTATTTAAAACAATATCGCCCTTGTAATGCCAGTCAGGCTTTTGTCTCGCAACAGTATTCCACATACAATCGACTTCAGGATAAGAGCATAAAAAGCGCTTGCTGTGAAGCGCACGCCTTAGCTTTACAGAACTGGTCTGACCGCGCTATGGCTGCTTGCGCAATATCATTTGTTGCCATGATTGGTTGTAATCCGACACGGTGCAGGGTTCACATGTCTGCTGCTCAAATGATAAAAGAACACTTAATGTCAAACAAAGACAATTCTGAAGATAAGGCCAATAGTATTGTCAATGAATATATGTTCAAGCTGGTCCAGAGCAATGACGATGTCGCCCGCGATATGCTAAAACACCTTGAAGAAATAACAATGTACAAGTTAAAGAAACAGCAAAATATTGATGGTAAAGTTGATATGGCTACAGTTTTATATGAATCCCAATCTATGGTGAAGTTTGCTTTTTTACATGGTTTGCCTCTTCCTGAAATGTTATTGAGGGAGTTTATTAAAACTAATTCTTGGTTCAATTTCCTCTTATTTGGTGATGTATTTCGCTATCCACTGCACCAGATGTTACAACTTTCACAAGAATTTGAAAAAAAATCCTATGCAGAGCATTTAAAGTATATAATGCTTCACAAAAATTTGGATGAAGGATCTGAGAAGGACAATAAATGTAATTCAAACAATGGGCAGAGAAGAATTTCCAGAATATATTCCACAGACATGGTCAGTTGTTATTATTTTATAATCAGATTTTTATTACACTTTCCATTTAGATGTTTTATTTTTTTAATGCTTTACTATAAGTTACACTATATTTTTTTTTAATAAAGGAAAACTATTAACTGTAGTATATAATAATATTGAAATATTTTTATTTATAGAGTGAAGTTTTTTTAGTTACCTAATCTCATTTAATATAACAATATTCTTTGTTTTGTATATGTTTGTTCCTTATCAATAATTATGCTGTATATTTTTTATAAACGAGATATCTATTCATTTTGTATTACATTATTACTAAGCATATAACTATATGAATGTGTTGATAAGTAAGTGTTTGTTTTGAGGAATAAATAATAAAAGGAATGTATCTATTTTAATTATGAAGAGGAAATAATTTTTAAGTTGGATATTATCAGGGCCCATCACATGGGTTCGGTGGCGGCATCGGGTGGACGGGGTGGTGGGAATGTGCGGCGGGCGGCGAGCTGTGGGAAGCGGCGGCGGCGTGCCACGGGCCGGAGGATCCGCCCGCTGCGTTACTGAAGGCTGCTCGTCGCCGCCACGAGCCGCTGCTGGCACTCATCGCTGGCTGCTACGAGGTGAGTACCCAATGTTGGTGATCTGTGGATGCGGAAGTGTAAAGACCATGGTGACGAAGTATGAAGTGTGTTACATTTTTTTTTTGGAACAAAGCATGATACATCAGTGCAATAGAAGGAAACTTCGAAATTGATACTGGCTTTTAAATGAGGCGAGGTGGACAGCCCCAGAGAAAGCGTTTAGAATCATTCATGAATAGTTGTTCCAAATTTGACATTAATAATATGTAGAAATTGTATAGTGCCTCTAGACAGGAAGACAATCACTTCTTCAGTTGATGGACAGTGGTCCATCAACTGAATCCGGTAGAGTACTACCGTTAGCACTACTGGCACAAAGGCGCCGTTAAATACTTTACTCTGAGGTGGTACATAGACTAAGGCCTAGCCTGTTGGTATTAAAACTATACTGAAATGCCTGGTCAGAGTGAAATTTTAATGAGTTATATTGTTTATAATTCTGTATATTTTATTTATCACATTTATATTTGTTTATGTAGCCAAATGCAGTGGATGTATTATGGGTGCAATGGGTGTTGTCGTCGATAGGGTCGAGTGAACATGACCTACCGTTCTCGGATACATCACAAGAGGTCCCTGCTGAGCAATTTCAGCGTGTCGCCGAACTGTGCTTGCGCGAAGGCTATGTATCGACTTTACATGAGTCTATGCTTATATTCATGCCAGTGAGTTTTCAGATTATTCTTTTTTCATTAATAAAAATTAATGTAGTTTTCAATAGCTTCATATTAAATTGGTCAAAACAGGTTTAGTGACGAAGTCTTTACGCTCTAATAATACTAAGTAAAATCATCTTAAAGTGAACAAAAACCTGTGTGTTATATTGTCCTATTTTATAAATTAATCATTTTAATTTTTTGTTGTTTATACTACAAGATAATTATTATTGTGGTTATGTAAATAATATATTAAAAGTTAGTAACAAAATATATTTAAAGAATATAAAAAATATTTAGGTGAACTTAATTTTAACCTTTTTTATATACATTTATTTAATAATCCCGCAATTTGAAAGTTGTAGTCAAGAAGATTTAATGAAGAATATATTAATAATCTTTTCTAATTTCAAATAAATTTCAATACAAACTACGAGTAGAATAAACTTAGTAGTCCAAATTAAATTAATAATTCATAGGGACGTCAAATTCATTTTAATATTATAATATTTTAATCTAAAGTTTAACAATAAATTTATCTATATTCTGAATAACATATACCTGTATCAGTGAGCACAGTACCAAACTATACTAACTATAAAAGATCTATGTAACTTCAGGTCTCATTCCTATAAAAACCTAGAAGCAAAGCGGCAAAGAATATACATTTAAATTTGACTTGACGCATATCGCTAATAATATATTAATCTAGTATATTAACGATATTAGTATATAGTAGTAGAAGATATTGTAAATTCTAATTTAGTCTATTTTATTTCAGGAGAGTCCACTCACTCTACTAACGTCGTTCCTCCTTCGATGTATTCGCCAACGTAACTTCGACTCTGATACTATCCAAATACTGAAAAATTTTCTTCAGCACTGTCACCGTAAATATAGCATTGACAAATCTGGTCTTGCATGGCAGCTCTCGAAAGATGCATTACAAAGAGTAGCCGTGTCTCTAGTCAAAATAGCCCTTAGTCAAAGTTTTGATAGTGCATATCACCAAAAAGAGTTTCTAAGGTGTTTGTCCATGGCTCAGTTTGATAAAGGATTTACAGGTAAGGGAATTTTATCAATAAAATTTTTTTTAATTCAATTTATTCTTAATATTGTTGGCGTAAAATGTTTTAATAATTTTATGATTAATTGGTATACGAATTAATTAGGCAAGCATAAAACAATTGATCTAAATTAAATATTTGATATATATATTGTTTATATCTGTATTATAATATGAGTCACGATAGTTATTTTTCAATAATATTTGTCAACATAGACGACATATTTAGGGTCATATAATGTTATCATATTCAAAGGTTATATAAATATTGTTATAAATATACTAACTTGTTCGAGTTACGAGCTATACGAAATTCTGATTATTTTAAATAACAAACAAAGAAAAATATTACTAAAATTTAAATAGTGCGACATATTAGTCTAGTACCTGCATAGCTAAATTAGCAATTAATGTATATATATTTTTTATGATACTTAAAAAGGCAAAGAAGTTGATGGTCCACCTAATGGAAAGTAGTAACCGTCGCCTATATATCTTAAGAAAAAATCTACTTTCTTATGGCACTGCATGCGCTAACATAAACATTAGGCACTCCATCAAGTGATTTTATAGATCGTTACTTTAACAATACATTTATCGTAATTGAACACAAGGCTCCTTATAAGAGAAGAAACCTATTTTTGTACTATGTTGGTCAGTAGGCATTTATGTCATGTATTTCCCCTATTTACTGTCTGTTAAGATATATGCAATAACTATAATGCTTTCAAGAGATTTCAATTTCGAATTTGAATAGGAGTTAAAAAAGTAAATAATATGCATGTTGTATTTTCAGTGCCGACCCCGAATTTTAGTGTTCTGTATGAAATACTCCAAATTTCTATGGAGACGGCGTCAGTTGTGGACATATCTAAAATGATGCAAGTCGACGCCGAACAATATCTACTGGAGTGTGTCCAGATGTATACTAATGATCGCAGCTACGAAGTCGCTCTTAAGATAGCCAAGCTAGGTAACTTGCCTGTCAACAACATATTGAAAGCCGAATGGACGAACAAATACGAAATGTTGCTCACAAATGATGATTCGTCTTTGGATGATAAGAAATACACGCTCTATATAGCGCAGTGCAGTGAAGCTTTTAAAAAAGCATCAGTTTCTTTCATCGATTCCACAGATTACTTGATCAATTACGCAGAATCGATAAGAGACAATGTGCAGAAATTCTATTCGTACAGAATCATCATGAGCTGGTTCCAAGAGAATTTTGAATATGGACGTAGAAGGGAGGAAATTGAGCATCGAATGTGGGATGCTTATTTTCAAAGTGAGTCACACAGTGAGATTTTTCTGAACAGCTACGAAAGCACTATGCATTATATATTGAATGGCCAGAAAGACGCGACGATTTCGAGAAAAATCGGTCAAATTAATGTGGACAAACCTTTTTCTTCTACGTTGAGTGAGATAGAGATTGCATCCGATGTGGGCAGTATAGAGAATGTTGTTTTGCTTGAAGATTCTGACGCCATTGATAGTTGGAGAAGAGTTACGAACCAACTTCTCGAGTTGAGATTATTGGTGGATGCATTCCGTTTGTCCGCTTTATTTAAGACTCTGCCTGAATATACATACAGACCGCCCACCTGCCCCGTACAGATTATACGCACTTGCTTGAAGTTAGCCGAAGGATTGTGTACGCCTTACGAATTGCCACAGGAGTTAAGATTAATGATATCATCGTCGTTGCTGCAAAATAAGTTAACAGGTAAAGCAGACTTTTTAATTATCATTGATTAGTAGAAATTTGTTAGAAAATTACTCATTATTCCGTATATGAAGATCCGATTTTCTCAGTGGCTTAAGAAACAATAATTAAAGTATTTCTGTTGGTGATAATATTATATAATAAAATTCAGGGTGTAGTCAAAATCATTCATGTCTGTAGGCGACAGTTGCCGATAAGTCTGGACCGGACTTAAAATTATATAATTGGTGGATTACGTTGACAGTATCTGGCACGTCGGAGACCAGCTTTGAAGAATTGGTGATAATCCAAGAGAAGCCAGACAGTGCCCCGGAGAGCTCACACTTGGCGGCTCGCGAGGAGGCTGATCGGCTAGCAGCGCTGGATGCGTTAGCTCTTCGTTCCTCACTTGCACTTGCCAAGCAGGTTTGTTTTTTATTGACTTCAAAAAGGGGTAGGTACAGTCTGTTTAATAAAAACTTAACAGGTAACATTTTTTTTAACAGTCACAGAAGCTTAAATGAAATTAGTAACAAGCCCAAACATTTTTTGTGGAACTAAATATTGAATAACAACTTAGATAATGTAACATAACAAATATTAAAAAATATAATTTTTAATTTATTATACAGATAGCCAGTTATTTCCGCATAGCCCTCCAGATAGGGTGGGACTACAAATCTGTGCTGAAGTATCAGAACCGTTCCCTGGATTTCATCAACTTAGTGAGCGGCAGAGCTCGTATGTCACTAGCCAATCTTGTATTCAAGACATTCAATTTACCAACAAAGCAGGTAAGATCTAATTTTATAACATTTTTAAATGATTATAGATTCAAGAGTTTCTAAATATAAATTCTATTTAGCATATTCTTGTACATGCATACTTTAAAGAGAGAGATATGATTTTTATATACGTAGTATATATAGGCATTATATATCATAATTATAGCTTATAGTTTAACAAATAAATAACTTGTATTGAATTCTATCAGATTTCAGAGTACCTTTGTAACGAGTTAGTAGCAGCTATTATATCTCCCCATCTTGTGAAAACTTCTACGTTCCGACAAAAAGAGCATTTTCAATACACACTCTGGGGCTACAATCTCAATTCGGATCTAGAGATGTTTCTGAACCTACGCCCGGACGCTTGCAGTCACATTGGGCGTCTCATTCTCGACCACCTGGTGGCCTTCCAGAGGATATACAAAGCGACAAATCCTACATCCCTCCCAGAGAATGCTGTGGACGACAGCTGTTTGGACGTAGAAACATTGATTGACGAGGAATATCAGAACGTAGAAAGTGACGAAGTACAATCTGTGCTAACTGAGGAAGGGACACTGATGTCTGAAACGGATTCGGTTTTATCTGTTTCTACGGTTTATGCAGCTGGTATACGCATGTCGAGAGAAACCAGAAGAAACCTCTTCGATGCCATGTCGCGGAATAATGTTCATATACGTTACGAAGTGAAATCTAACATAAGGAAAGTGACAAAGGGTGCTAAACTTTCATCGAAACAGGTACATTAATTAATTAATTGATTATATTTTTTATGCAACTTCGAATGCTAAACAAGCTGATGACAGATACAGTATACTTTAGTGATTATTACAAAAACATAAGTATGTGACAATAATATATAGTTTACCCGGAAAAAAAAACTATAGTTTACCAACGAGTGTCATATATTCGACTGTGCCTAAGACGAAGTTTTTTCTATTAAAATAATTTGAATTTATTGTTTTTTTTTTAATGGAATGAATTTTCGTTTGTGTTCTGTTTTCGTTTTAATTGACCGATTGGACAAGACTAATCAGAAATAGAGATCTCTTCAAGGAATTTAAAAATAAAAACTACAGCCTGTAAAATTTATATTTTTCAGTTTCGTAAGTTTACCATAAAGGTGACGATATTGTCGCGTCGAATTAAGAAAACTACAGGATAATAAAGCAGTTTAATACAAAGTTGCACCAGCTATTTTGACACTCTGACATTACTACAGATGCGCTGTCTCCCCTGTTTTAGAGGACGAAAGCGCCAAGTTTTTGTGGAGATATGGTATCGATACAGTTAGTGGTTGGCAGGTGAATATAATCAGCATCGAGCTGCTGGTGGTGGCGCACGAGTGCTTCTCGTGCGCGTGCGACACGGAGGGCGTGGCGGTGGCGCTGCGCTCGGCGCAGGCGCTGGCGGGCCGCCTGCTGCTCGCGCGCTCCTGGCGGCTCATGGTGCGCCTGCTCACCGGGCTCGCGCGCTACCACGAGTGTGCCTACATCTTCCAGGTACCCTTCACTGGAATGTACTTCTTCTCAAACATGCTTGGAAATTTGAGCATTATTTCGACAACCTTCTTCGAGATAAATCGAACTTGCGGTACTGGTCGAGCAGCGGCCTAAGCCTACAACGCTTTGGGTCATCTATTCAATGCTAAAATGCACAATTTTAATGAAACATAACGTGAATTTGAATAATTTCCGCGCATTATTTGAGAAAAGTACTATACAAGCCTTGGCCGCAACTAGGCATTGATGGACTCACGTATGTGTGCCTCGGGTTCCCCTCGGCCCACATTCACACGTTCGTCCATCAATGCCTCTCTTGCCGGCCGCTGCAGTAATGTACTATGCTAAGATGCTCGTCGTTCATATACAGTCTATTCACATTTTTTTTTATACAACTTAGAATGGCAAACAAGCTGACGGCCCACCTGATAGAAAGTGGTAACCGTCGCCTATAGACATGAGCAGTACCATGGACATAACAGAGTATACTGTTCCGCCCATGATACCCCCCATGCGTTGCCATTCCTGAGGACTCAGGTGTTATTCCTCTGTACCCTGTAAATTCACGCCATATCCCACCCTTCAAACCGAAACACAGCTATGCGAACACAACTGCTTCACGGTAGAAACACGAATAGGACAGAGGTACCCAAGCAATCGACTTTTGTACAAAGTCTCCCTCTGGTAATTTTTCTGGTCATTTTTGGTATATTATTGGTATATACCATAGTGCTGGGTCACCTTATAAGACATGATGATTTTTTAAATAGTATAGTAGAATAATAGAGGGCCAAAGAGGAAGGGGACCGAGAAATAATTACATGAGACAGATAATCGAAACACTAGGTGTCATGTCCTATAGGAAGGTTAAAAATATAGCTCGGGATAGAGCTGGCTGAAAGAAAATGCATGAATTAGTTACACCGACAAGATGAAACTCTTAAATGAAAAGCAGAATACCATATACAATATTAATTGTCCACTGCCTCCCTCTATTGGGGGATTTTTCCAGTAGTTGCCATGCTTGGTAGAGTTAAGCCTTGGAGATGTTTTAAGAGAGATGGGACTTAATGCTCATGGAATGGGCAGTAGCATCCCTCTTAAAACATCACCAAAGGTTAAGGTCAACCCGCCTACCAAGCGTGGCTACTACTCACAAAACATCCCAATAGAGGGAGACCTATGTTCAGCATCGGACAGTTAACAGCTGATATAATGTAAAAAAAAAAATATGGTAATCTATTCATATTTATAAACCACTTTTATAGACTGCCATAATCTCTAGATGGAGCAAACGTCAAACCTTACATAAACCTGTTTTAGCTATTGTGCTGTTTTATCTCTTTTGTTGTATAAATTCCCAGTTTGAATGAAAGTGACAAAATAGTGTAATAGTTAAAATAAGTTTATAGGAGGTTTTAGTTTTTATGGATAAGGGAATAAGAAGAGACTAATTATGATTATTGTTTGTTTAATTCATTTAAAACTCTCAATGAAATAGTTTAAAAATATTATATTATTTGTTTCCAGGCACTACGAGATCATCATCAATTTGAGTTTCTGCTCGGTCAGTTCGACTACATGCTCGGTCAGCAAGCTGATAAGATTGCTGAATTCAAGCAAGGTTTACTCGACTTTTTGAAGACCCACTGCCCGGGAGACATTGATTCGTACATAATGGTGGCATTGCACTTCAATATGTACGCTGAAGCGGCTAACGTGAAGAGGAAACAGGCGTTAGATTTGATCAATGACTTGGAGAAAATAGCATTAGATGACGTTAGAGCGACATCTAAAAAGCCCTTTAAGGCTCCTGCATGGTTACAAATCTATGACAATTTCTCAACGAGATTGATACTTGAGACTGCTTTGAATCACTGCACGGACGCATCTGAGTTGTACCTACAGGGTGGATGTATGGGTTTCGCTGGCGATATGGCGACACTAGCGCAACAAATTGCTTTACAGCTGTCTCTGCTGAACGCTTCGCCAACCAGACTAATACTGAATAAGAATACGGAACAAGTATATAAACTTGTCAGCGAGTATTTGACGTAAGTGCCTTACGATTTACTTATATTGTTGCCTTAGATTATATAGATAGTGTCTCCATAAAAATGCTTCGAGAAAAACGGGTCAACTTTTTCATACAATTTAGCGTGATAAATAGTTATGGCCGATTCCTTTAAAACTTCTATATATATTTTGTTTTATAAATTCTGCATCTTTTTAATGCGTAAATATATGGAATACCGATAAAAAAAAACGAGTCAGCTAATTTGACAATTAGCTGACAAAAAATTGACCTGTTTTCAAAGCTCGATTATCAATCTATATAATATAAAATTATAGAATATTGTAACATCTCTATACTTAGTAACTTCACGGTTATGTCCCACCCTTAAGACCGAAATACATACATGGAATTTTGTGACGGGGAATCAAGTCGGGAAAAATAATCTATGCAAACGAACTGCACGAGGTTATTAACCATTAGATCTGTAACATTGTGCAGGTTCATGGAGGGGCTGGTGATGATATCGGGACGAAGCGGAGAGGTGTGGCGTGAACTGGCTTACCGGCGCGCACTCACCAACGACCAGGCGTATCTCCGCGACATGGCCGTCTACCGACCCGACGTCGCGGTGCAATTCTTGAATAGGTAGGCATCTACATACTTACTAAGTATATTCTATTTCAATAGAACTTAATGTAAATAAATGAATAATAATAATACACTCTCATGTCCTAGGCGTGCTTGCCTGGTCCAATCTAAGTTTTTTTAGAAACTCCTTGTTACCTACTCCGTGCTGCGCAACTGTAAAACAGACTTGCTTTTAAGATACAGGATAGGCTTTTCATCATAGCCTTCAAGAAAAGGTTGAAGCCTCATTTTTTTATTAATAATACATCGTAATTCTTAATACAATGCACTTTCTTATATATGTATAGTATATATATTATTATTATTTATTTTTTATTTCACATTAAAACTTTGAACAAATGGCTATCTTAATGCCATATGGCATTATCTACCAGCTTACCATTAGGATCTAGAAAGCGTATGAAGGGCAGATGTGGTGAAAAATATGTGACATAATTATAGTAACATTGAAATTTACAATTTGTGTATGTTAATTTTATAACAATTCTATTTACTTTGTATTTACTTGGATAATATACCATTATATTATCTTAAATTATTAAATAAATCATTTAAGATAATATTTCATAGTCTTTTTTACAACTGCAATAAAGAATATATATAATTGACTCAACCATAAGACAGTCTGCCGATGTTCAATATACAGATAAAAAAACGGTTAATTGTTTGATAATTTTAAGAAAACTTTATTACCTTTTCATTATGTTCTATTGAAACAGACCAAGGAGAAGGTACTCATATATAATATGGAATGCCAAGCTAACGGCTCATCTAGCATGATTTTCGTTCATTGTCATACTCGTGAACGGGTGTTATTTGTTCTAGGATCGGTTCTAGTCACTACGATTGGTTTTGTTTATTTGTTTAATATACTATATCGTATTTGGTATTAGATGGTGTCCATAACTAGGTCAATTTATAAAGGTGTTGATGTACTTTTAATATTACTCTTAAAGTTTTACGTTTTATATAGAAGATTAACATATTTTCCTTTTAATTAATTTAATTGAAATGATTAATTATTTAATATTTTTTTCTAAAAATTTATAAAAATGAATCACAATATATGAAATTTTGTATTCATTCTAAATATTTTCCAGGTACAAAACAGAGAAGAACAAAACTACCGTATCTGAGGCCGCCATGACAGAGCTCCGCAATCTTTGTAGATGATATCAACTAAAACGTTAAGATCTCTTTCCGTCTACTCATATAAAAATGCTCATAATAATTCTCTAAAATTCCAAAGCTTATAAATATTAAGAAATTTTGTATTATGCCAAAAATGTAATATTATTGTTATGTGAAAAAACTTTTTGATTTTAAAATTATACTATACAATGTTTTTAAAATTTTAAGCTAATTATTTTATTATTGTTTCGCTGTGATATTTATATTGAAATGACTGAATAATGTGTAAACTGTATTTTTGTAAATTATTAAATAAATAAAATTACTAATTGTTTAATAAATGTTTTAATATCATTAACAATTAAAAGACATGCAAATATCACATACTGTGTTACAAGCTTGAGAGGCAACGCTAAAATGGATATAAAAATTTTTTTATCAAAGTATATATAATAATATTTATGAAGAAATATTACGTGGGTTTTAATTACGTCTAGGTTTTTTTAAGAATTATGTAATTGATGAACTGTTATATAATGACAATATTATAAAATATGTAGAAAAACCCATTTATATCATTAATGAAAGGTATAGAATCAAATTCTTAACTATTCTATGGCTAGTGGCCATAAAATTTGCCATTTTCCACATTGTATTTATTACTTATTTTTTATACCGACCGCTTAACTTTTAAGCAAATACGGAATGTTACATGTATGCATATATTCGCTGTTTCATAAATAACAGCAAAGTAAATTAAAATAGATTTAAATGAATGATATAGAGTATAAAACCACTATTTATTCTTATACAAAAATATTAATTAATTTGCATTAATCTAATATAATAATTGTAGTTATTTTTTTGTTTATAATTTTAATTGATAGTAAAGAGATTTTGTGCTCATAAAAAGTATATTTAAAGTTCTATAAAGTTAACAATTAAAATTACACATGAAATAAAAAAATATAATACCCTAATGTACATATCATTATATTATGTACATTATATATAAATAGGTATTAAAATTTTTTTTTATTAGATGTACTTTATATTTACTCTTAATTACTGTGGCACAATATATAGCGGTTCTAGCTGTCAAATCATTTAATAATTTATTGCAATAGATTTTGCTCAAAATATTAAACTACGATTACAAATAACGATTTTATTTAATACTAGGTGTAATAAAAAACGCTAAACATAATACATCGAAATAAATAGAAGCTTAATAACTAATTGTCATTGAACTTAAGCTTGGGTTTAATTACAAATACTTCATTAGAGGTAGCAAAAGCTTATAATTATTTACATTATCGCAAATTAATACGTTCCAATAAATAATTATGAATAAATACTTTAAAATAATCTTATATGCAAATAGGATTCGTTATTAATAGAAAAAACAACTCCAACATGTATTGGTCTACATCAGATCTTCGTGTGATTAATTAGTACCTGTAAGGTCTCGCGAATGGATGACGAAATGCGATTTAGTATTTATAATATAGGTATAGAGATCCTAAAAGAATATCTAGAAAAATAATAGTTTTTACAAATTTTTTCACTGAGCAATTACCGCAACTTGTACGCTCCTAGAGGCGCTTGTACGACTCTCGGACACTACACTTTTGACTGCATCATATACATTTTCCGGTAAGTGATCGAGCAACATTCGCGGCATCACCTGTACTACATTGAAGTCATCAGGTATCGCCCATTTAATGCTATATTTCGGCTCTTGTTTGCCCGATTTCCTGTGGTACAGAATAATGGTAATTTTTATATTACATGCAAGTATATCGATTACCTCTTTATAGTAAAATTCGTGAAAAATAATAAGAGACTACCCATTAATAATTTTTAAAAGACTTAAAAAGAAAAGAGTTACTATTTTTTTGATTCACCAAATCTAAACAATTTGTTTTTTGCATACAGGTGAAGTTTCCATCGTTAGTATCTTTTGAATGGAGTGTTCTGTCAATGAAATTGATCATTTTCACTAAAGAAACAGGTAGAAAAAGAGGAAAAATTTTCAGTCTCTCAAACTAATACGTGTTCAGCGTATGAATTATATACGTAATTCGTTTTTTGAATTATTAATTCACGAAATTTCTGTCCTAATATATTCTATAACATAGCGTAAATAAAGATAATCATGTCAGGAACTAACATATTTTTTTATAAGAAAATATGTTGTGTAGTTTCATAATCTAATTTAATGACAAATGTTGGACGGTATATGTAAATGCTGTACTCATCAAAAATAAAAAATAGCCTACATGTTAGTCTAGTTTGTTCCTCAATTCTGCTGAAATATTCAACCGTTTTAGCACAATTGAATTTGAACATTAATATGTTGGATAAATGTTTACCTGTCAGGTTTGTGACGTCTTATATGAAGAACTCTGCCAGCTATGAACAGACGGTCTGTTTCCTGAAAAGTAAATATATGAAATAATAATTCAAAAGAAAAAAAAATTAAAATATGTATGAAAGAAAAACATAAATAATATTAGTATAATATTACAATGCTCATCAGGCTCATACGATTCAGAGTTATATTTCGAGTTTACTTTCTCTTCTATATTATGCTTTATTCTGGACTCTCTGATATATTATGCTTTATTCTGGACGCCTCTTAGAATGCTGGTAATTTATTGTTACCTTAGATTATTTAGAGTATCGAGCCTCAAAAATGGGTTAACTTTTTGTCAGATTAGCCGATTGATTTTTTTATCAGTATTCTATTTACGCATGAAATGTATTTTGACGTATTATTTAATAAATGAGTGTTTACGCATTAAAAAGATGCAGAATTTATAAGACAAATGTAGAAGTTATAAAAGAATCACTCATAACTATTTATCACGGAAAATTGTATGAAAAAGTTTACCCGTTTTTCTCAAAGCATTTCTAGGGAAACACTATCAATATAATCTAAGACTGTTACTTACCGGAAAGGCTCTCGGCAGATTCGGAGCATGCAGCAGGTGAGATTCTAAATCATCTGAATTTTCCCACGCCGAGTCGAGATCACTTTCAGGTATTGAGAAAAAGGCGTATCTTATACTTTTCAATATTATCCTATACTGAAATAAGAAAAAACAACAAAACATTAAGCAGCTTATTTAAATTGTTAATTATATAAAAAAAGAAAATACGTAAATATTTGCAAATTACCTTTGGTAACCTAGTTGCATGTAATGATTGTATTAACTTATCCCTAAAGTCTTGTACGCTGAGCACCCCAAGCCTCATGACGAGGTCATCACCGAGGCCGATCGTCCAGACAAAGCTCTCTGTATACTTAGCCGCTTCGCGACTTAACAATCCCGCTGGAATATAAATAAAATAGTTTGTAATATTGCATTATCATTACCATGTATAAAAATATATCTATATCGTAAAAGAATTAAAAAAAAAATCACGTTTATGTTTTTAAGGAATTAAATTTGTTATAAAGAATAAGGAAGGTATAAAAGTTATAACAAGTTCTATGCAAATAAACTTACCTGGGCCTGAAAATGCAAATACTTTGACTTTTGGGTATTTGGGTTTTAACATTATTCCCAGTAATGCAGCAACGCCTGCGCCAAGACTGTGTCCTGGAATATAATATTTTTATATTACATTGGTTACACAATTACAGATACATACATACTAGATTTCGTTTACGTAGACTTTGGAAGTAGGTTTACCAATTAAATAGTACCTACTTGTTGTTGGAGTGTTGAGATAAAATATGCTGATTTTGACCAAAAAATTTTTATAATTTATTATTCTGGCTTCTCTTATGCTCACAAGACACTTCATAGTAATCTCTCTTGCTTTATATATTTTTAACTTTAGGCAGATATATAGTCTTAAATAAGCCGTAAACAGAAAAAAATAACAGAATACCTAATAGTACCTATATCTATGTAATCTTTTCTAATGTTTGAATTTTTTTTTTATTTACCTGTCACAATGAGGCCGTAGTCTGGATATTTTTGGAAAGCCTTTTCCAACACAGGCTGTAGAGTTTGCATTGTTTTGCTGGCACTCAAGACCATGCCCTTATGACCTCGACTTCCTTCTGGCAAACCTTTAAAGGAATAATGTAAATATACATACTTACACGTAGAAATAAAGTTAATACGTTGTGGTAAAAAATATGTTTGATTAGTCGTACCTTCAACTACAAATTCATCAGAACCACCCGCTAAATCTGTGAACATGTCCGGTAAAGAAATTGTCCCTCGAATTGTGACCACAATATTTTTCCCTTCATGGTCGGCTATTACGAAAAACGCCACCTACAACAATTTATAAGTAAAATAATGTATTTATAATAAAGAAAAATAGTTACAGGTATTAATAAATTATATAAATTATTATGGTAATTGGTAATAATTTATATATATTATATGGTTATAATATATATAAATTATTACCACTATTCACCAGTCATTAGCCACCTTCAAGAATCTCATTAAATTCCACTACTTGTCATGATAGTTTTTTTTTCTTTCTCTTATTGAGAACTTGTTTTTGTCCTCTGTACTTTACTTGTCTCGATATTGTGTGTGAAAAAATTTTAATATATATATATATATATATATATATATATATATATATATATATATATATATATATATATTGTTATTTATATTTCAATATGTATATTTCTAAATGTATGTTATATATAATATATACTATTATAAGTACTTATAGTATTTTTAAGATTTTTTAATTGACTTATTCAATATAGTGAACTATTTTAATTATTTTTTTCTTATAATTTTTATTAGTTCTTTAAATTGGAAAGCGTTGTTTGAAATAAATCTATGCGAACGTACCTCGAACACTTTGTTTGTGAAGGAAACATAAACAATATCCGAGTCGTCCACTTTAGACACATATTTAAGGCCGGCGTAATTGCACATGCAGCAGTTGTCGCCGTCCACATCAACGTCTCTAAGGCTGCAGGAAAAACATTCGAAATGAACTTGAAATACCTATGCCAATAACCCAGTAAACTATCACATAAACCTAAAGTAAACTATAACATGTTATATTCTAGTTATAGTTTACTTTAGGTTAAACTAGTCTATGTTATAGTTAACTATACCAATAGCAAACTATAACATAGACCTAACTAACACCGTAATGTCTTATGAGTATAAATTAATAAATAAATTATAAGCTACTAGCTTTTACCCGCAACTTTGTTTACGTGACCGGAATATATTAACTGGCCTGGATAAAAGTAATCCATGTCCTTCCTCACGTCATATAGTATATGTATATCACAGTAATTGGCTATGATGTTAAGGCGCTTAACAGTCAACAAACAAACACACTTTCACAATTATAACATTAGTAAAGGAGGAATAGGCTGAAATCGAAAAATATCTGACTGTTTTATTAGTGAACCTGAAAGATTTTCTCAAAGAAGCATGGTGAAAAATGACTATAAATTTTGGCTTCTCTTATTACATACAGTATTTTAGATGCAAGTATGCCAATTGACCAATAATAAGTCATTTCATTTGCAGTTTCGATCGCGGATGTAAATTAAGGTTTGCAAGGTATCTAAGTAACATTATAGTATAAGTGTTCTCAACTATAGAAGTGTATTTTTTTTAATGAATGGTAATGATATTGTAACTCTGCTAGTTTTTTTTTTTAAATGGTTGATAATGGAATGGTAACCCCACCTGCGCTATCGGTATACACAGGCGGGGCACCAGTGAAGAATGATAGGTGAGGATGAAGTAGGTCAGTTAGCCCATCGTGACGAATTCAACAAGAATTGTTCACGATGGTTTCCAGGGGGAACCACGTGAAGGTCGACCTAATAAGGTATATTGCTAGCAATGGGGCTGTCAAACTCCATTGCTAACAATCCTTTTCCCCCCACTCTGCTTGTGTTAGCGGTATATAGTGGCAGAGCAACAGTGATAGATGATAAGTGAGGATGAATGCTTCCATCCTCACTTAACATCTCTCACTGGTCAGTTGGCCCATCGTTACGATTGTTAGAGTATATTACTAGGATTAGGGTTGCAAGCCCTCATTACTAATGGTTCTTTATCCTCTTATTAAATATATTTATTGGGGGAGGGGGAGGGGGTTGTTAATAATGCGGACTACCAGTCTCATTTTTATCTCTTGCCCAAAAAGGTCGACCTCCACGTGGTCCCCCCTGGAAACCATCGTGCTGAATTCCAAGTGAATTCATCACGATGGGCTAATTGACCTGCTTTTTCATTCTCACCTATCATCTCTCACTGGTGCCCCTACAGTGTATACCGATAGCGCAAGCGGGGTTACCATTCCATTATCATTCATTAAAAAATATATATATATTTATTATCATACTTCACAAGTAGATATAAGACTTAACGACTTATAGTACTTTTCTCTTCCGTAATTAATATTGATAAAAACATATATACATTGCAGTATGAGTCATTTTATTTGTAGATTAAATTACGGATACGGATAAGGATTTTGAGATATCTATCAACAAAATAGATTTTATTAAGCGATTAGAGACAGGACTTGATTACGGACTTTCTTTTCTCATCGGTGATAGATAAGAATAGATAAATATATGGTAATGAATAATTAGACAATTTCATTTTTACATTCAAATACGGATTTCACTAAGGAATTCGAAGGTTATCACAGTTGATTAAAATTTCATATGTGAAATATGTGTGTAGTCAAAGATCACAAGTACTTATAGTCAATAGATATTACGATAAATAAATTTTGCTCACGACTATAATTCCTAATGGGTACGTTTTTTTTTTTATACCACTAAGGTGGCAAACAAGCATACGGCCCACCTGATGGTAAGTGGTTACTATAGTTTATGAACACCTACAATACCAGAGGTATTACGCGTGCGTTGCCGACCCTGAAGAAACCTCTTTACCCCTCTTTTGAAGAACCCCATGCTGTAGTCTCTTGGGAAAATCTCGGCAGGTCACAGGCATTTGTTTTTATTTGTTAATGTTATTACCAATGTAACAATCAATATGCCTAATTTTTTTTATCAATAATTGTAATAGAATATAGTATATAGGAATAACTCACTTGCCGCCGCAGCACTGTAGATAAGGCGTCAATAAACATAACCAAGTACAGAGGTTACGGTACAGCACATACAACCAGCCGTATGCTGCTACCGACAATTTAAGATAACGGTAGGCATCTTCTATTTGCATCCATTCCGGAATGTCGGCGAGTACTTTGTTTACATCTGTACTGTAATGTTCCATTTCGTTCTCGTTGGAATCTGCTATCTTAGTAAGACGTTTCTGTCGTATCCTCAAGAGTACACAACCAGCAAATATATCGGATAATACAAGATCAGTCGACCTATACAAGGCGGCCAGAAGACCTGAAAATATTTTTTTAAATAAATTCAAAATATTTTTTTACCTTAGATTCTTTACGAATGATAATTCGTGGGTGGATAACCCACAGACACACACGGAACGTTGTATTTTTTTATTTACATTCAAAAAGTGCTCTAAGTAATGGTAGAATTATATGTTTACATTAATTTTATAAAACTGGTCTCATCTTACAAATATAATAAAATTGTAACTAATATTCTTTATACATGAGAAATATTTAAGAAAAAATATTATGAGAGGTCATAATAAAGGCAATGGAAGCGCAAAATATATTTTTTGCCTGTCTATATATTTGTTGCGGTATCATGCATAAACTACTGCATCAAATTGGATGCAATTTCAATTATGTTCCTAAAGATCTCACTTAACGATACTTTAAAATTAACGAAACTAGTTTTAAAATATATTGAAGTATGACTATGTCAACCATTAAACTTTCGATTATAGATATATTTATATAACATTTTATAAAATAAATCGCAGAATGTATTAAATGGTTTACGTTTTGTGTACAACTACATGTTATGTCGTGAAACCCATTTGATACAATTCGTTTAAAAATTTAATAATTAAAATATAAACTGTATTTATATTTATCACTCACGTGCAGTTTCTTCAATTGCCTCTTTACTCTGTTCGTTTCTTTCGAGTAATAATAGGGCCCATTTAAGTCTCCACACCCACGACTCAACAAGCTTTCTGTTGTACCAGACTCTTGTGTTTTCGTCTTGTATGCTATCGTAATCTATAGCTCCCAGAGGATCGTAGAGGGAATATATAGTTATGGGGAGTATTGCCATTCGTACCCACGTGAATATTATTAGGTCTAAAAAATAATTTATAAAAAAAAAAACCACATTTCATTATCGTAGCTACGAGTAGGTAAAACTGAAATTTGATGCACAAATAACTATACTAATACATTCTACATACATACATACATATCTGTCACGCCTGTCTTCCATTATGGTAGGCGGAAACAAATATATACATTAATAATACATTCTAATCTTAATATATACATATATATAAAAAATTTATGTCACAATGTGCGTTAATACCAGTATCTGAAGCCACTCATTTGCTCATAATGAAATTTTATGAATAATGGAATATGGGTAATATTTATTCCGATAAGAAAAATGGACTCAGTAGATGGCGATAAGGGTAAAACAGCGATTGCCAGATATTAAATACTTTAATTGTAAAAATAACTAGATTGGCATTCATGATTAAAGATCCCGGATGGCTCCGATACTAGTTGAGTATTCTCAACAAAAATACATACGAGTTAATATAATATACCTACATACAACATACAATATAAGTATATAATAATATAGTGGTAATAAATCACTATTTAAAAAATAAAATTGATGTATATTATGTATCGTCTATCATATTATGATGTATCATCATATCAGCCTTTAACATAAGCCTCCTCCTTGGGGGGGTTTTGCCAGTAATTACCACGCTTGGTAGGCGGATTTGTAATTGCAGTCAGGCTTTAGAGGGACGTTGCTGCCCATCCCTCGCCATATAATGTATAGTACAATATATATATATATATATATATATATATGTAATTAGTATTATTAATGGGTATTTAATATACATATATTGCACGTGATGAATATACTTAGACGTTTCATTTATTATACTAATACTACTTACAATATATAACTCTACTAGAAAATATGTGCGTTGTATTGCATTCGATGGCATCACTGAACATCCAAACAGTTCCTAAAACGTTAAGCAACAGTTCTAACAGCGTCATGAACATGCTGCAAGAAAAAAAATTAATCTATTAACTTTTCTTTCATTTATTTAAATATTGAAAAAAAAATTAATATTAATTTCTTAATTTTAATTTTGTGTTCAAATCAATAATATTATTTATGAAGTATTATTTCAATATCTATAATCATTATAATTTAGTGAAATCACCAGACATATATGATATTCATATTTTTTATGCAACTTAGAATGGCAAACTAACTGACAGCCTACCTGATGAAAAGTGGTAACCATCGCCTATAGACATGAACAGTACCATGGACACAGTGTATATTGTTTCGCCTATGATACCTCCCATGCCTTGCCGTTCCTGAGGACTAAGATGTTATACCTCTGTACCCTGTAAATTCACTGCCATATCCCACCCTTCAAACCGAAACAAAGCCATGCAAACACAACTGTTTTACGGTAGAAAAACGAATGGGATAGAGGTGCCCAAACTAACGACTTTTGTAAATTACTATAAAAGATCGATTTTATATTTTATACTTAAGTATTTTTTTTTATAAATAATATAAATATTAACCACTAGGTATAATTTAAAAATTATATAAATAATATTACCAAGGATTTTTAATAAAAAATATGCATACTTGATATAAATTAAGGGAACAACTAATTTTCTATCGGTAGTTATAGTGCCTTTTGCAGATTGTTGCGCTAGAATTGGTAACAGGAGTACCATAGCCGCCTGAAGTGCCAGGGTGCCCCGCATGTATAACTGCATGAAAACTTCATCAAATCCAGTTGTATTACATTGCCACGTATTTTCATGCGCTACTACTATCGCCATTAGCACCAGCCTGTGGAATCAGGGGCTTTTATAAGTATAAGGATATGCAAGAAGAAAAACTCATGGTGACAGGTCAGGTGGAAAGGAAAAGACCAGGAGACCTTACAAACTTACCTTAAAAAAATACTTTGGACTGCGGAGTTCAAGGTTATATTTTTTAATGTGTGAGAATGGAAAGGTAACCCCGTCTGCACTATCAGTATATGTTGACAGGGCATCAGTTAACCCAGTGTAACAAATTCCAAAAGATTTAACCACGTTAGTTTCCAGGAAGAACCGTGTGGAAGTCGCCTAATAAGGTATATTGCCAGCGGCGGGGCTGCTGAGACCCTTTTATAAATTAAGTAACAAATTAATTTTAGGATGCCTAAAGGCATTTATTATTATAATTAAATCCCAAAATTTCAACACGTTTTGAAAGTTTATGGTTCGATTAATTTATTTGGACTTCAATGTATAAATTAAAATTGTTTTTTTTTTTTTCAAGGAAACTTAATTATAAGCACTTTGCAATACTTACATTATAATTCTCAAGAAACTCCATTTAATAATAAATTATTAAACTATTACTTACCATACTATTCTAAAAGGTAATTCTATAACGCATGGAAATACGAGATCGTCTGAGGCAAAAAGCCATTTGCGGCCTAACATTCGAATTGCAGGCATTCTGAAAAAAGGAAAGGCATTATGTTCATCAATAGAATTTTAGTTCTGGTTATATTAATCGATGGTCGGACCAAGTAACCGCCGTTACGGGACTGTCAATTGCAGCTGCCCTGCGAGAAGCTGAAGACCGTGCCAAATGGAATAACATCATAAGAGAGACAACAGACACCTTTCAAGGACACGACCTTTAGTAATGAAGAGAAAGAAGAGAGAGAGAGAGATATTAACTCTGGTTATTATATAATCACTACCTTTTTTTAGTTTTAATACGCTACCGCTGTCTAGGATTTTTTTATGGGTGAAAATAGCATGGTAACCCCGCCTGCGCTATCGGTATACACTGGCGGGTACCAGTGAGAGGTGATAGGTGAGGATGAAAAGACAGGTCAGTTAGCCCATCGTTACGAATTCAACGCTAAATTAGTCACGATAGTTTCCGGAGAGAATCGCGTGGAGGTCGACCTGATATATTGATAGCAATGGGGACTAAACTCCCCATTACTAACAATCCCTTTCCCCCTCTCTGTCTGGGAATTAGGTCTATTAAGGTATTCAGCCAGTCAGTGTTCCACTAGAAATAATAGTAACTATCCATGTAGTCTGTATGTTCTGTGTTCACATCTACAACTCAATTGGATGATTTATGTATGACATGATTATCCGTAATTTAAAACAATCATGTTAAAAATGTTTTAAATCATGGATAATTTGTAATTAAAAGAACTTAAAGGAGTTTCATTATATTGTAAATCTCTTTTTTATAACTTCGTAATTTCTGATTTCGAAAATGCCACGTTTCGAAAACGCCAGATTTTCATTCTTTATTTCACGCCTTCAGAGAATAGAATTAAAGGTGAATTTTTAATAACCAAAAATTCAAACAAAAATATACAAAATTTCACTTCACTTATTTAAAATACTTATAGGTAGAATTTCCAAAAATTGTTGAAAACCGTTTTGTTTTTAACCAAAAGCCAAAAACAAACTTTCATATTTCTAACTTCAACAATATTGAAATTTATTATAATTATATGAAATTTCCAAAAACGCAAAAAGTATTAAATTTTGCAATATTTCTAGATTTTAATTTTAGCGGTTTTGGCTGTGCGTTGATATATAGAGCCGACAGTTAATTAGCATCATTCTTTATGTATATAAATAGATAATACCAGAATAAAATTATACTACAAAATAACTAGTAAAAGGAAGGTAAAATATGTGTTACCACCTGCAACGCATAATAATACCTGTGAAGGTTGAAATAATGAATTCGTTTATTCAAGGTCACTCGAAATGTTCACTAATAGATAATAATAAATTATAATAATTTGGCATAAAAAACCAAATATTTATTGGCTTTTCTTTTTTAAGGCTTAAACCCATAAAAATACAATAATAGCTTCTCAATGACATTAATTGCCTGGTTCACAAGTTAGGATACCTTGTGTTATGAGGAATTAGGCAATCTAGGGGCTAAACCCACAATACCCAGATCCGAGCTAATTCACAAAAAAGTTCATTTTGTAATCTGACCTCACTGGGAATCGAACTCGGGTCCTCATTTACAGGAACGTGCCCACCATTGCGTCACGGTGATACTCAATGAACAAACAGAATCGAACAAAAAATATATTTTAGTGTTTTTTTTCTTATTTGGTGGGTAGTTTGTGACGGTAAAGATCAGTACGGCGGTTTTCATTGGAAATGCATTAAATTTTGATATAAGTGATTTACCTGTCTGGGGGAAAGGATTGTTAAGGGAAAAGAGGCTCCATTGTCAGGTAGACTTCCACACGGTTCCCCTTAGAAACCATCGCGGTTAATTCGTAATGGATTCGTTAAGGACTAACTGACTTGCTTGTACCCACAGTGTACTATCTTTCACTTATACCTCGTTTACAGATAATATAGGCAAAGTTACCATTCTATTATCATGTGTTAAATTAAGATTGTTTTACAAATAAGCCGGTTTCAAATGTGATTGAAATCAAAACTAAACTATTGAATCGATTATGATGAAATTTCTATGGAGCCCATTTTTAAGTTTATTCGTATAAATACAAATTGATTTTCCATAAGTTGATAACTTATGGACTTATGAGGTAACAAACACAAAAAATACTACAAAATTGAAACTCCCCTTCTTTTTGAAATTGGTTGAAAACCTATCTACCCACCTAGTTCAATATAATTTTTAAGTTAAACTATTATATTTTATTACTATAACAGTCGTTCATTGATACTAAAATTATTAAAATTAAATAGAGGCACAAAAATTAATAAAACATGAATAGAAAATAAACATCAAAAGGTCATATTTCTACCCGCATTATTTATTTTTTTTAATAATAAATGCGTATTTAAAAAATATGAGGAGTAAAATTTGAGGCAAAATAATTCTTACCTTTAAAACGTATTTTTTCAATCGAAATTAAAAAAAAAAAGTTTTTATTGCACAAAATAAGAACGCGCCGTAGACTGTACAGGACCGGATTTAATACTGTCCTGTCGTTTCCGTTACGAATCAAAATCGTACATATGATCTGAGTTATTGAATGACAAAACGAATGAAACAGTTTTTTTCGTTCATTAGCTATTGTATTGTGTTGCCATTTAAACAAGAGGCTTAGTACATAAATCTGTAATAGTATGAATCTATTATAAAACTTTTATAAGAACATTTTTTCATATAAAATTAGAAAATATTGAAAATAGCCAAAGAAAGAATTTCAAGTAGTAAAACTATATGAAAAAATACTCCTTAAATTCTTTTTGAAGTCGATTGAAAACGCAATCTATGACGGATAAATAAATTTATTGCTCGTCCAAAACTATGTCGAATAAAAGTGCACCTAAGAAATTATACTTATTTTTCTATATAAAATTCATACAAACAATATAAGTAGATAAGTATATGGTAGCACTTGATTATGGTTTCAGATAAAAGATAGATTATAGGTTTTGTATATTTCAAAAATATTGTTTACTGTACTTAAAAACCATACTTAGTATAGTCATAAGAAAAATGAGATTTGGAGTTAATTATCTTACTTGTCAGTGATTTTTGTTTTAACTAAAAGTATTTTTTTTTTATAAGATTAAAATCTAGATGTAGCAAAAGATCTCGTACTTAATTGTTGTTTGTATATGAAGTCAAATAATATAGATGGAGTTACTATTGCATTGCTAATCCTGATTGTCTGAGATCCGAGAGAGGGCTCTATTTCAGATTAGTAATAGTTTATAGTACTATGAGTTCTGTTTATGTGTATAGTAGCGGTGCGCGATTTCGGATGTTTTCATATAGTGGATTAGATTAAGACATTTATTGACTACACTATTTATTTGTATATTATAAAAAACACAACCCAAAATTTTCGGATTAATTCTTATTCTTAGAAATTACTTAATTCTTATTCACACATTAAACTAACCTAATCATTTTATAGTTTGTGTTGGACAGTCAGAACGGAAATAAAAATTATTTAGTCTGAATTAAAATTATCATAAGGACTAAGCTATTAGCATGTATTCAGTTCATTTCTATTTGATTATTAAAAATATATGGACAGTTACAAGCTTTTAATTTTTTTAATGGTAATAAATCTGTCGTAATATGCGTATGGCCTTGTTGTAAATATTTATAAAAAATATAGCGATAAGAAAATTTCCGACAAGGGAATTCACAATCTAATAATACATAATAAAATTATTACACATCCTAAATGATTTATCCAAAGATTTATTAAAGAAAAACAAGAATAAGGTGTTATACTTAGCTGCTAACCTAACTTTATTTTGAATGTTGAAAAATAACACAGATACACAATAAATATTATCTATATCGCACTTTTTTTAAACAGCTGTTCACACTCATAATTATTGGTATAAGTACCTAAATATTGCCATGTACTGGTTACAAGAATTCATGTTAAATATTATAAATATTTTTAACCAAGTTGTCAACTGTAATAATGAGTACACGAAGGTTGAAAAATAAATAGAATAATAACATTAGTGATAATCAGTGAGTGCGACTACTTCGGTTTGTAAACCGAATGAACAAATCAAAAACTATGAAATCCAATGAGTTATTTTTATAAAATGGAACATATTTTCTATCAAGGTCATTGCAGTTGATAAATGCGACTCCAGTGTTGCCAATATAGGATTTTGTTGTTGTACAAAAGTAGCATAATTCTAAAATACTATGGCTATCTTTTTTATCTACTATTTACCGGCTTTAAAGTATGTCAAAGCTACAAGTAATTATTATAAACTAGCGACCCGCCCCGGCTTTGCACGGGTGCAATGCTGATACTAAATATATCTACCTACTACAGAATGTCCTTATAAACAACGTTTTCAGCTTTCTTGTCATTAGACAATACAAACATACAAATATAATTTATATAGATACGCGCCGCCGGCCGGGGCGGTACTGCTGCACCGCTATGTACCTGCATTTTAAATCTGTAATATCTTCGGAAATATTTATTTAAACTGCATGCTGTAAGGCAGGGCCATATCGATCTATATTAAATGGACAATGTATTTAAGGTACTTAATTGGATAAAAATTAATGTTGTATTGCTTAATATCACTTCATAAATAAGCCATTTTTTCCCCGTAAAATGTAAAGGATAAAAAATGGTTATTGTAGGTTATCTTTTTTGTTGACCTTTTTAAAGTGTACAATAATATAGTACATTATTTTGATTTATCTCGTGGAGTTCAGCCAGCGTTTGCAATGTAAACGCCAAAAAAATATTTATTCACGTCAATAAACTCTAAATTTATCAGGGTTTCTCTACAAAATAATGTATATATTATACATATAAACCTTCCTCTTGAATCACTTTATCTATTAAAAAACCCCGCTTCAAAATCCGTTGCGTAGTTTAAAAGATTTAAGCATACATATGGACAAACGGACAGCGACAGCGACTTTGTTTTATACTATGTAGTGATGATGATTTATTGAAGCATAAACTAGCATAATCCATATTCTCACGCTATACAACAGAACAAGCGCAAAAAAGGTAACAATACTTAATACGTAAAATGAATGTTTTCTATTTCATAAGAACAACTATAAAAAAAAAGCATAAAAAAAATATTGTCTTAAATAATACATAAAATTATTGTCCAATTTCGGTTATGAATTAAAAAATCTTTACAAAAGAACGAAATATTATTTAAAAAAAATGAACATTCTTCTTATTCCGAAATAATTGTATGTAATCGTAGCCGTATATACAATTATTTTAACTATTATGAACGAAAATTATAAATGTTTATATACTTCGTGCAGAAGATTACAAGTAATGTAACAATTTGTACGAGAGATCTCGTACGGATGGCAACATCGTAAGCCGTACTGATGTTGCCATTTTGTTCGTTTAGCAGGGCTATATAGGCCTTTTACATACACATTCAGTCTCATCTAAATAGCCTGTAATTTACTCTTATCTGATCTTAAAATATTTCAAATAGAATGTTGCAATAAAATAATTGGTAGCCTTGAAAATATCACAAAGTGCTAGCTGTAGATTTTTAGGTAACCCAGTTTTTAATATGTGTATGACAACTGATAGAGATAGGGATCTGTTTATTTATTCCTTATTTTTTTACATCTTTGTTTTACCTAACGATTTTATCAACTAAAATGAAAGTTACGGATACATACACGCACTATATAGAATGAAAATGGACATAAGCATTGTTATGTTCTTTAATTTTTTTTATCACCTATTTTATATAGAAAAAAAAAAAACTTAAACCAAAAAACAAGCATTATCAAATTATTACACAAATGTTTACCAACAGTAATATAATTCAAGTTAAAATTTATATTGTTACTTAGCTGCAAAATGTTTTGGAAGCCATTTCCTGCAAATGTTTGTATATGTGTGAAAGATTTGTTCTAACTAGTTCTAGTCAGACCTACCTATGAAATTAGTTCAACATACATATATCATCGGCTCCTTATTCATTTACAACTTTACAAACGAGGTTGGTTACGAAAACCAAACACGCTCACGTGCTTTAAGCATTTTTTGCCCTTTTCAGACTTCATCAGACCCTTATAAACTTCAATATTCGGTTTGTAGTATATTTTTTGTGGAAATTTCTAGGTATTACACTAAGTTTTTATGTCTTAATTCCCACTTTTATGAATCATTTAGATACTTATGCTAATGAGTCTACGTGAATAAATATTATATTACGTACTTATTTATTTTTATAGAGATAAGGTAATATTTACGTTACTCACCATTCGATAATAATTTATCAAAACATGATATTGAATATATTTAAAAAAAAAAGTAACGGATATCATTCAAAGATATAGGTACATATGTGTCGTGATATGCTAGTTATCTATACCGGTTATTTTTGTAATAATCTAAAATATTCAAGTGCTATCAAATATATTATTTAATTAGAGTAGATAATAAAAAAAAAAATTCAACATCATCATGACTGAATCACTGTAGCTTTTATAGCGAATATATATTTAAGTATTTTAAAATAATCGATATGGAATTTCTCTCAAAGTTGTTCATAAATGCTTATTACATGGGACAAAGTTCTTTTTTTTTAATTTTTTTTGTAACATTACTTATGACTGGAGTACCTTAAATATGTTCGTGCCATGTTTGAAAGTTTAATAGATTTTTATAAGGTTTTTTTGAGAATGATAATTCAATAAAAAACAACAGGGTACTTAAAATAGAGTTTAATATAAATTAACACAAACCCAACACTAGACATTGGCTATATTCTAGCTAGCATACTCATAGGTGAGAGAGATTTATAAAGCCCTAATTTAGGGTACAAGTGAAAAGAACCTCGGTCCTTCAAATACTTGAATTTACAGATCTACATATATTTCAGTATCATTTTAGTCTTTCCATAACTTTAATGAGCCTATTATACTAGGTATATATAAAACAATAAATCGACACTGGAATAAATTGTTTTATATAAGATTTAATGTACTTAATATTCATTAATAAGTAGGTAACTATTAAATTTATTGTTCGCTCGTTAAAGTTAAAGAATACAACGTAGTTAGTAAAATAATTGTTTTCATTAAAATATAGGTAATATCATAGAAAAAGTATAGGTACCTTTCTTATCTATGGTAATATCTACATACTTCAACCTGAGCACTAGTACCTAAATTTTAAGATCAAAAACAAAATAAACTCGAGTTTTCCGTATTTGTCAGTTACAAAGATACTAATAGGTATATAGTACGTAGTTTTTAAGCATTTAAACATAATAAACATAGTTTTTGTCTTTACGACGGCGAGGTATTCTATCCTCGCCGTGTATTACTTTTAACAAATTTTTAATATAAAATGTCGATCGAAAACTATAGAGACTGAAATGGATATCCATAAGGTAGACACCTTATCTATCTATAAAATCAGAAAGTATAATTGACATATAAAAATTAAAGTATGAAAAATATAGAATATGTTTTTTTATATAGGGTCCTTAAAAAGAAGAAAATAAGCATCGTAAAGAAATATATATCAAAATGCTTGTGTAGATGGTATACATAATTTCTTATATATGTATATAGATTAAAGATTCGAAAAAGTAGAAAATATCCAAGATACACATTTTCAGGATTGACTTAAGTACAACAAACGTTAAAATAAGGCTGGCTAGAAGAATGAGTAGATGATTTAAACAATAGTTTGATATAGTGTATTGTATTTTTATGTTGTGGTCATTTATTATACAACTACCAGGTTAATCACCAGCTATTTAGACGATTATTTTGAATATGAGAATTCCAAATAAATTTTATAATTATTATAAACATTTTTTATAATTATCTAATGATAGTTTGCTGAAAAATTAAGATTTAATTTATGTTTCAACTTTTAAGGACTTGTTAATAAAAAGCGTCTTCTATATTTTTTCTATTTTTTTTTATTTGTACCTGACTAAAAACTGTCCATTTCTATATTCTAATCTTAGTCACAGTAGTTACATTTTTAGAAACCAAATATATTCAGGAATAAACAGACAACAAAAAGGAGATACAACAATAAAATTAAAAACAAAATAATAATACTTATACAAAACATTTTTGACGATATAATACCCGAATAGAATACCGATATTACTGAGGGAGAGGTATGCAATAATCACAGGTAAATCGGAGACTGCAGAAGTAAAAAAAATAGAGTATGTCTAGGTAATTTAGCCATGAATGTAAACCCGAGTTCAGAGAGCTACAATTTATTAATTTTAAAAATATTTATTTATTAATATACATTTTTTTGAACTTACGACGATAATTGTTTCGACTTCATCTGGAAGTCTTATACATGGTGAGTAAGGTGCTTATGTTGCAACGTCTCAGCTTTAATTCAGTTAATACCATTGTATATATAAAATAAGATTAATTACAATCGACAATGTTTTGTCGAGGTAACCTATAGTTTTTGTCCTTACATTATTAGCACGACTTAACTTAGGTAACGTCAATGAAATTAAGCAGCTAAATCCTATTCGTCTGTTCAACTAATTTTATTGCTACCTATATAATGCATTTTAACTTTAACGTGTTATAATGTAATAATAAATAATGGAATGTAAATTATTTAAAATAAATGCTATTTACATAACACATATTTTATATAAAACAACGACAGAATATATAAATATCATAAAATCACTCGTATCTTGTTCCCATTATTATAAGTAGGTGTTATGTGTAGAATAAAACAATCATGACGTTTTAAAATTCATATCGATGTGTTCTTAATATACGTTAATGTGTCGGGGTTTTTTTTTTTATTTTTTTAAATCGACTTGTTTTAAATTTATCATTAGTTGAAATAAATTTGTTCTGTGAGGTTGTGTTACAGTATACATATACTGCGCCTATATAGATACTTATTCAGTATTTAGGTCAATAACATTTATAAGATAAATATATGTATATATTACAATTAATTCTTGAATGCCTGTTACATGTGAGATAGCAGAAAGTGGTAACGTCAGTAAATTTATAAGTAGTAATGAACTTATCAAATAGAAACGTCACGTAGTTACTTTGTAATTGACTTCGATAACGTTGTAAGCTATACTAATTATTGTACTCAATGTTAACTTGCAAGATTTAAACTTAGAGTACTATAAAATGAGTTTATTTATTCTAAAGAAATGATTGCTTTTAAATTGAGCAGACAGGAACTACAGATTATGCCCTCTAAAGTGCAAATAAAGACAATTATTGTAGAATATTTAATTGCAAGAAGAAAATATTTATAGGAATTTTTTGTAATAAAAAATTAAAGAAAACAAATTAATGACAGATGTTGATTGATATGTACTAGGTATAAGTAGGACAAGGAAAAACAGCCCATAGCTTATTTGTGACTCGTGCTCACTCTAATAATAGACATTATTTACATATTAAAACACCCTTTTAACCAACTTTGTATACAGATTCATACTCCAACTATAATAAATTGTCAGTTCAACTATATTTAACAAAATATTCATACTAAACATCATCACAGTCTTCTTACATTATAATTATAATTCCCTTAAAAATAACTTGAGACTGATTTGTCAATACAAAATTGCTATAAAGACATTTAACAAAATTCTGAAATATAAACTATGTACAAAAGTTTCGTAAAAACAGTTTACATTATTTAGCGTCAGGTAACCAAAATAGGTAAGATAGGAACAAATTGTAGGTATGTCATGAAAGAGACTTGAACATTTGAACGGGGATTAAAGTGGACCCACTTTTTGTACATTTACGTACAATAATATGCAAACCCTATGAGTCAAAAGATTTACCTAATGGCATACATATTAATGCAAGTAACGACATGATTACACACCTTTTCATAAAAGGATAGAAATAATTAGTTTAATTATCACAAACTTAAAAAAACATTTGTCCAAAAGTTAAAAAATAATACCAATAGGTATTTTTACCTTACTACCTAAATAACAGTCACCAGAGCAACTACTATATTAGAATCTACGCATAAAAACTAACAAAAAATAAATGCTATATCCATAGAGCAGTTATGTTTTAGGTAGTCTCTCACGAAATATTTCCCGACCTTAAAAATAAAAATGGACTTAATTTCATTTACAAAAATATATTAATGTCAATTGTGTCAGTTTGTTTAAAGAAGGCTACAACGAAAACTTTTGTCATTTTTCTTTAGAGTTAAAGCTTCAATGGCTAAATAAAAAAACAATAAATAACCTAGTGGTTATTTATTGTTTTTTTTTTAAGGGAAAATTCTTTGTAGTTCTTAGTAACACTAGGAATGTTTCCTGCGTTTCGTAATTTTTTACAAACTGCCTATTAAAATTAAATGGAACTTTTTGTCAATTATATTAAGTCCAATTTTATTTATTTGTTCAAGATCTAGATGATTTCCTTAGGTAATCGAAGTACCTATTTTTTATGAATCGTAGTTTATATAAATTTGCCTCTTTGTCAAATTGCTCTATGGTCTCCAGATATTTAATTGTTTTTTCTATTCCAGTGTTCCACTTTTTTTTTAAACAATATGAGTGGCTCTGTATGTATGCCTCTCCTCTATGACTGTTTGTATAGTGCGATGAACATTTTCTGGTAGATGATCCAACAGCATTCGTGGCATGACCTGCAACTCCATGAAATCCTCAGGGCATGCCCATCGCATCTCGTACGTTGGCTCATGTGTACGTACTTTTCTGTAAAGTTTACAATTCTCTTTTTAAACACTTATACGAATTTATAGTACATAGTAAAAAGTACTTAATTTTTTACTAAAAAGAGCGTAAAAAAAGATAAGACAGTGAAAAATACCTTTCTTCGTCCGCTTCATTACTGTATTCAGACATAGAAATAGAAAAAATCTTATTGGAAATCAGTGAATATCTTAAAATTTCTTATAAAAATAGCATCGATTAAATTTAACGGAAAGTTAATGCTTATGCATTGTTTCCTCATAGCAACTAAAGAGGTGAGTAAATTTTGACAAAAGTGTTATTCGATTCCTTCTGTAAGGTAAGAAAATGCTATTTTATTGTAGCAGTTTCCTTTTTCCAGTTATACAATATAGGTAAATCATAAATAAAAAGGCTCTTTGAAACCATTTGAAAAAAATAATTGGCTACCCAGAATTGGCAAGATCCAAAATGAAATTTTTATTAGTAGGATATACTAACTTTTCAATGCCCATCCGCTTACGCCGTACAATATGTAGGATGCGGCCGGCCGTAAACAGGCGCGCAGATGAAAACCGCCGCGCAAACACGTTACGCGATACTAGCGCTGCCTCCTAAACATGTGAAATAAATAAATAATTACATAGTATTAATCAATAAATAAATTCTACAGCGTCATTTAAAGCAAACCTAAACATAGCTTGATGAGTACCTACTAAATAAAAATATTAATTAACGATCTTTTAACTTTTTTTACCATCAAGTTGGTGCTTTATTTAGCTTGATGGTAAGCAGTTATATCGTAATACCTGCAACTTTAGATGGATATTGAGAAACTGAAACTCATAATTTTAGTTGGGAATGCTTATATATTGTTGTTACCTGAAGTTATGTTATTTAGTTATAGCTCTTTTCTAAAACTATTTATTTTATACTACTAAAACGATAAAAAAGTATAGAATCCGTCTGATATTAAACGGTTACTATAGTGTCACGATACTTATATTATCAAGGGTATTTTAGATTGTTAGTAGCTTGTTACTGACCCTTAAGGACCTTATTCATGTTTTATTTTAGAATCTTGTGCTGAGTTTAGGGAGAAACTTGGTAGAGAGCTCATTCCTTAACCTAAACATCTGCAAAAGAAATTCTTTGCAATCCTATTGTTTTTGTGGGTGTTATTATCAGAATGTGTGATAATGTCAGAATTCAATGTTTTTAGTAATGTTTTATATTCAATTATCATGATAGTTTCACAATCATGGTTAATTCCTGATGAATTAATCATGATGGGCTAACTGGCCTGTTTTCATTCTCATCTATCACCCTTTACTGGTGCTCCGCCAGCGTATTCCGTTAGCGCAGGCGGGGTTACTATACCATTTTCACCCATCAAAAAAAAACTTGCAAAACAAATAAAAATCATTACAAATATTAAATATCTACATAATCGGTATTCTTCATGAATAAAAGAAAAATATTTGAGAATAAAAGAATATTAAACAAAGTAAACTAGAATTCCTATTAGAAGTTGCTGCTGTATACCATAAATTTAATGAAATTTACCGTCACGAATTTTATCGATCTATTACGGAAAAATAAATATTTTTCCGTTAAATACACCATATAAAATAATCTAATAGCAACAACAACTTCTAATGTAGAACCTTTTACGAGTAATACTCATACAAACAGTACACAACACACAACACAAGTAAACAGATACATACAAAAATACTACAAAATTACCGTATAAATGGAATATGAAATTGAATTAATAATCCGACTTACCTTTTGTAGTCATTTGACAAAATAAAATATTTTTAAGGCCTCCATGAATTTAAAATTATTTATGCAATTTTCTTAAATGTTAAAAAATATAAGTACATATACTATTGAAAATAAAAATATTCTTATTGTCGGAATTGAATTATTTTTCTTATTGTCAGAAGTGTCTCTATTGTATTTTGAATTATATTTGATTATGAAGAATTGCATGCTTCTAATAGTATTTATTTAATTTTACTAGTTATATTTATATGCTAAGTTACTAACAAGTTCCAATTTTTTTCTACTAGTCATATCATTAAATATGCACCTACTATAATTTGTAGTATTTATGAAAGTAATTATTAGATGGAATGATAAGTGATTATAATTAACAAAACAAAACCAAAGCAATCCAGATGAATTATACTCTAAGGATTTATTTATTAAAAATAGTACCAAAATATTGGTAGATGCTAATTTTGAAATAGAGCAGTGGCGTCGCTAAATTTGTCAAATTGACGATTTTAAAAAAAGAACATGTATATAAGTGTCAAATTGGCAATATTGAAACGAAGCAACTTGCCAGGCAAATTAACTGTCAAAGTGGTGGCCTTAGAGGATAACAGCACTGAAGTGATGACGACAGCACACAGCACACGACACCTGGTAATAGAAAGGGCTCAACTGACAGCACTCACGGTGGAGACGCTCTGCACGAGGAGGGCATCTGTTGAATCATCGGAGTGGTTAGCTTCAAGATCTTCTGGCCTTCTCCAGGTGGACTCGAGATCACGAGCAGGTACGCCAAATAAGGCATATCCGAAGCCATTAAGCATTATCCGGTACTAGAATGTAAAAAATGTGTTTAATGAAAGGAAAACACGTTGATTATAGATCTTTTTTATCGCGTAATAATAATATTAAAATAGTTTTCAAAAGAATGTAGTATTATATTAATTTCATTACAAAATGCAAGGTATATATGAATTTTGGATATTAAAATTTTTATTGAAATTGCATGGCCCAAGAATTAGTCCTTGTGGTACTTCACTTACTTTTGGCAATTTAGTAGCGTGTATCGTTTGTATGACTTTTGTACGTAAATTCTCAATACTGTGTACACTAAGTCGCATCACCAGATCGTCACCAACTCCAACCGTAAGCACAAAGCTTTCAGTGAACCTTGCTGCTTCTCGACTTATCAAGCCCGCTGAAATATAAAGGAGACTATTTTATTATCTCACATAAGATTTTGATTGACATGATATTACAGCTATGTTACACAATAATATGGCCATTTTCCATTCTCTTATTAAGAGTAAAATTTAAATAAAATAAAAATAATAATCATTGGTAATTTCTAAAAAGAAGTTTTGAGGTACTGTTTACCTGGCGTTGAAAAGGCAAACACTTTGAGGTGTGGATATCGCGGTCTTAATTTCAGCGCTACCAATACTGCCACTCCAGCACCGAGACTATGACCTGGAAAATTAGAGAATTTTTCATTAAAACAGGTCTAAATTTATTTTGTATAATTTCTAACTAAATTATAAATTGATAGGAAAGTAAACATACAATCAAAATAGACTGAAGAAGATTTTAATTTTTATTGATTTTTCAATGATTAATTTATATTATATATACATATATTAAAGTTGTTCATTCAAATAGTAAAATTATGTAAATTTGAATTACAAAAGATAGAGTACTTGGTATTATTGAATTGTGTCGTCGAAATTTTAGGTAAGTATAATATATTATTTAAATTGATCACCTGTCAGTATAAGGTCGTAATGTGAGAACTGCTGGAAAGCACGTTCTAGTACTGGTAGTAGCCGTTTCAACATTTTGGCTGCACCCATCGCCATACCCTTGTGCGCTGCAGTATCTTCAGGAAGTCCTGTTGTATTTACATTTTTGTTGAAAATTTAAATGTTTAAACATATGATTGGCAATTTACCGCAAAATTTTGACTTAATACTATAGATTAATATCCGTGCTTAGATCAAATATTTAATTTTAGATACGCAATTGCTATTTGGGGTAGATAAGGTTATAGGCTATTTTTTATTCCGGTCAATCAACATATCTCGATCATGTGGATGAAGTTGCCGGTTATATATTAATCAAGTCGGACTTGATCGATATGTAATTTTAAGACTAAAGTTGTTATCCAAGTAAATTTAATTTGGTTGCATTATTAACTTTCACATTAAATGACACTTTAGCATCTTTAAATAAATATAAATAACCTTTTATATATTATTTAATTCGCGATAACATTTTTTATAACTACAATATATTGTTATCTTGATGAATGTAGAAATATCGCATAATTAGCAAGTTTATTTAATTACCATCAGCTTCAAACTTCTCAGAGCCAGCGGTGAAATCCGTAAAGATGTCTCTTAGTGAGATGGACCCTCGGACCGCTACCACGATACTTTCACGTTCGTGATCCGCAATCACGCAGAAGGGTAGCTGAAATTATGAATGGTCAAATGGGTATTAGATAAATATTTGGGACAATATGATGGTCACGGGAACCGTTGTCTAAATATAAACAACGCTATGGATAGGACATCACAAAATAGAGTATATTACTTTTTATGTATTTATTCTTATGGTGTGTTCTCATGTGTGTGCAGCCAAGTAAACAGTTGTTTGAGTGGTTGTTTCGGTTTGAAGCATAGGATATTGCAACGAAATAATTGGTTAGAGATAATTAACACACATCAACAACATCTTAATCTGTATATATGAGATATATGATGAACGATGTATGATATATACATGAAAACTATGATTGATGTCACAAAATATTCTGTATCTATTCATTGTACATAAGCTACTGCTTTGTTTTGTGTATGCGCTGTCATTGTGTCTAATCTGTGTATAAGGGACGATTATTATTTTCCATTTCAAGTACTATAACAAAGTTAATTAATATAAAAAAAAAAAATTAAACATATACTAACTTCGAAGACCCGATTGTTAAAAGAAGCAAAGATGATGTCATCAGCATCCAACTTGGACATGTATTTGACGCCGGCAAAATTACACATACAGCAGTTGTCGTCAGTCACTATTGAATTCTTTGGCCTGAAAAAATGTTTGTAATAATAATATTTTACTTTGTGACAATAAACCTTTATAGAACACTTTATACACCCCTTAAAGCATCCATTTTTCGAGAAAAAGAAACTGCTTGTAATGAAAGCCTAGAAATACTACTATCCTTAATTTATGGTTACAGTAAAATCTGCATGTATTTTGTATATTCTGTGTTCTTAATTAATTTATTTTCAATATAATGTATCTATGAAAAAATCTCGTCATTGATTGTGGTTGCTATTTTAACGACGCAAAATACTTTATCCTTGTAATAAGGTATTATTTTATTTTTTATTAAATTTATTATTAAATACTGGCATTGAGTAGGTATTACGTAATTTATTTATACAGTAAATTTAAAAACTCATTGTTTAGCTCTTAAGGTCTTCCATGGATTGAGATTTGATTTGAGATTCTTTAGTTATTACTATCATTATTTTTTTAAAGAATCTTTTATATTGATGAAGACTGTACATAATTATATGACTAAATAATATTAACTCAAAGTACTTAATTTTGAGTAAATAAAATAGATTTTTAGAGATAAAAAAAGGTTAAAATCTAAATAATAATGAAAAGTAAAGGTAAAGGTAGTTTTCAAACTTAATAACAGAATGAAAATAGTTTGGATAAGATATATGTTTTATAGTTAGTAGTGACCATGTCTAAGGTATAATACAATTATATCGTTGAAGGGCATGGTATCCGTTCTACATTACAATTACTGACAGGCGGTCAGATCACATAATCAACTTACCGATCCGGCATCGTTAATTCAAATATTAATGATATTGAAGTAAATTGCATAAACAATCATTAAATTGAATAAAAACTCATGTTCATAGTTATTACTCAAAACATAGCAACTTCAATCGTGAGCGATGAATATGGGAACAACACTACGGCATACTAACCCTACCAATATCGCCTAACATCTCCAAAAAAAAAAAAAAACATCAAAAATAGTCTAAAATATTAAAGTTCTGTAGTACAGTCATAAGAATATTTATTATTATGGTATAATCATAGTCTTAAACAACACCATGGACACAAAGAAAGTCAATTATCGAGCATTACTACTCACAAATATCTAACTATACACAAAGAACCCGAACAGAGACCTTCGTCTTTAGATGTTTATACTTTTATTTAAATTTTTTGCCAAGAGTTTAATTCGAACTGTGATTATAACGATAAATTTCCAAATAGCTTACCGGCAACAGCAACAAGTTAGATGACGTGCCAGCTTACAGAAACCAGTGAAACAGTGTCGATAAAGCACGTAAGGCCATCCATAAGCCGCTATCGATAACCTTAAATAATGTAAAGCGTCCTCCAAGTTCATCCAAGGTGGAGTTTCTGAGAAAATTTTATTAACGTCTGTCGTATAAATAGGCTCTTCATCATTTAACATTTGGATTCGACGCATTTCTCTAGTTTCCCTCTTTTGTCTAACTCTCAGAAGTACGCAGCCAGCAACCACATCTGATGGAACAAGATCTGTTGATCTGAAGAGAGCGCTGAGTAGAGCTGAAATTGTATTGTGAAATTTACAAACTGGTAAAGTATTTAGGTATATTTTTCTTAATTTATCTAGATGAATCCTTTTTTTAGCCTTATCGTATTGTAATTATGAAGATATCACGTACATATTTCTATAGTAAATTATTATCTGCGATATTTACAATGGAATCTGATGGTAAGTGTTAAAGTGTCATTCAAGTAGGCAAGTCTTGCCGTCTTCCATAATTTTGAAAAAATCTTCTTCGTGCTTTCCTAGAGATGAAGCATTTTATGATTTCGCGTAGTAGACATCTTCTAAAATCTTTATGTTTGCGAAAAATTTCCCTACATAATGTTGGTGTCAAATAAACATATTGCGTTATGATTACATGAACTTGCGGGTGCATCTAATAGTCTTCAATAAAGTACAGTTAGAAGAATAAAACCTTTAATGTATTTTAGTGATTTAAAAATACCTAATCTTACCAGCGACCTGCTGAAAAGCTTCTTTTCCGTGCTCATCTCTCTTCAACCAACAGAACGCCCACCGAAATCTTCTAGACCACAATCCTGTGACTTTCTTGTGGTGTCGAACTTGGTTAGGAGTGTCTTGCATATCTCCATAGTTTACTGACCCTAATGGGTCGAACACCATGAATAGTCCAAATACTGTAAGGGCTAATTGCACCCAATTGAATAGCACTATACCTGAAATTTTCGCATTTTATAATTAAATTTTCGTATTTTCGCAGATTAGACAGTGAACAGTCATACACTACTAATGGTGGCCGAATTAAATAAAATAATTTCGAATTTGATACCATAAATCGATATCGTAACGGCAAGTTATATTTTCTCTTGAAATGCGGGCACATTAGTAGTTCAACATATAGTAATAAATAGATGGCAAAATTATTTCGATGCCGATCTAGGAATATAAGAAACAAAAATTAAATCACACTAACTGTGTGATGTTGTATTTTAGTTTCCTTACTTAGTGATTTCTGTGTATAAGAAAATTATGATCTAAAAGATAGTACATTATAGAACACCTAATAATCTATCCGAATAATTTATGTAAATAACAAATTTTATCGAGAGCTATTAATTCATTTATTGATTACTATAATTTTTATTGATGAAACATAAGTATTAGGAGTTAGGTATAGCAAGCAAGTAACCAACTAAAACATGATGCAACAATCATTAGATAGGTAGGTAGACACTACTCAGATATAGGTAGTTAATGATCGCCTATTATTATGACCGTAATGTGGCAACCATCTTGCAATCGACGCGACTGACGTACGTAATAGAGGTTTGATGACAGATTACTATATAGTAAGTAGGTAAATAGAAGATACTCGAATGGTTAATGCTCCAGTTCAAACATACTTCTTTCACTTCCTCCATATTCACCAGTTTATTCATATAAGTGAACTTGATACGTGTAATGTCTACATAGCGTGGGTACTGTGATAAAAATGAACGAAGTAGGTATAGTTATTTGTTCTCTAAATTGAATTCCAGCAAAAGAAATCAGCTAATAATATTCTTTGAAGATGTGATGGCATTACTGCGGGGACCTTATTCGATTTTATAAAAATTACTTTCCAGAGGGTTATTGTTGCATCATTAAATCCATAATAATTTGGTGTGTAAACTATAAAGTGTATAACTACTTACTTTGTATAACTATGCTAGAAAATCTATCAGTGACTGTACATTCAATAACATCGCAAAACATCCACATGCTTCCCATACAGTTGAGGGCTATTTCTGGCAACACCAATAATACTCTGCAACAACATAGGGTTATAAGAATAAAATAACTTCTAATATAATTATATTTATTTTCTTAAAGTATAAAATACGAGTAATAAGACCATAAATTAGTAATGTAAATGTATAGGTATTATATTATTGATTTACAGAGTTAGGCGATTATATGTAAATATAAAAACTATATAAATTATTGTACTTTTTTTTCTCTTTATTAGAATTTTAACCCCATACTTTATAGCCCGATTTCTATTTAGAAACTTCTATACTTATTTTCAAGTTTCCAGATGTTAAGACTCTGAAGATTTTGCAATTACCAAGATAAATCATTAATTAATTAATTTTTCTTAATTACTAGACTCACTTGATAAGTAATAACGGTGAGACGAATTTTCTGGCATCGATGTCAGTTATAGTCCCTCTAGCTGACTGTTGCGCCAGAGTTGCTAACAGTAGCAAAAGCACACCTTGCAATGCTAATGTGCCACATAAATATAGCTGTACGAATGCTTTCCCAAGCCAACCTTCCGATCGGCATTGCCATATCACTGGATATAAAACTTCTACCACGAGTGCGATCAGGACCAACCTGAGAACAAAAATAAGGAATAGCTAATATTGTTAAAAGTTTTGTCAGCACACATTTTATTTTAATGTAATAATCACTGGTTTAACTTACATGTCAATACTAATCAATTCGTGATCCTTAGTCATGAGCGGCTTACATAAGTTAAACCAGTAGTACATAAAATACATAATATGTTCTATGCAGTCACTGACTAATTTAGACTAGTCTGTATTGAACTCGGTAAACATTGACATTATAATTATTTATAGTTATTATATACATACAAATTCAAATTTTCACGCTTTTACGATCAACCTCTGTTTTTAATCACGATTTTTATATGCCGCAATAGGTTTAAAAGATGGTAATCGAATACAATAATTGTAGTACAAGAAATTTTCATGTATAGGTCTCGAAATAATGTATACTCGTATGATAAAACAACGTTTGCCGAGTCAGCTAGTAATACATATAAGAGACAATATATATATATATATATATATATATATAGGACATAGGCTGCTTTTATATCGAACAATGAATATATTTCGATCAGGCGGACCTAAGTCTAGGGTTAAAACTACTGAAAACATTTCGGCCTTCGTTCCGGACTATCTACTAAAAGCTCCACTTTATGCGGGTGCACGTATATGAACTTTCGTTGTAAGCACTCAGTATTGATAATTACATTCATTCAACCTTCGGACCTGCACTGTGATGGCTTACTAAAAGGCTTTTGAGTTATAGCTATTTTCATCATTCGTTGCTATGGAATATTGCAAAGTAATATTTTAAACTTAATAAAAATCCTTATGAAAATAGAGAGCCTTTTGAATTGAAGCTATTGCATAACGATCATGTAAAAATTGCAATATCGCATATAGATCACAAGTATATATTTCATATATCTATAAAATGATTAACACTATAAAGATAAATAAATTATAGTTACATTTTAGAAATTTCTCTCTCTCTCTCTCTCTCTCTCTATATATATCTATATATATATATATATATATATATATATATATATATATATATATATATATATATATATATATATATTTCATTTATTTATAATAATAGAAATACATGCTACAAACATAAAACAGCGAAACAAAAACCCGCTTGGGGACTATCCGTCATTGTCCACATGTCTAGCCATGTTCCTTAGGGAAAATTATTCAGTTTCGTTAATATTTATCATTGAATTTCAGCTTGCTAAACCCGTTCTCTTACATATTTGGTAAATTGTGGTTTTTATTTTTTAATCGAATCAAACTATTATCTGAGTTCATTATTCAATACTAATATTAGATACGTAACATCTACTAGACAAAACTTCCATAATCTAATAAATAGTTTTCGAATATTTTTGTGTTCGTGGCTTATTTGTATCATGATACAGACAGACAAATACTCACTAACTGTATTATTTTTAATATGATTAATATACACTATAAAGTCGACTCTCGCGCGAATTCCTACTGAATTTTTCACGAAGCGCCAATCGACTTAACTTTATTCTCACCTGTTATTTTTCATAAATATCTCACTAGTCTAAACCAATGGCACAGGTAAGGTTACTACTGCTAACGTACCGAGTCGGTCTTATTGAATAATTTTTCGTTTAGTAATTAAGGAAAAATAAATGAAACAATAAACAAGCTAGGATAAATACCTACTCGAATCCTGTAATCGAATATTGTATATCCGAGTTTTATATATTGATTAATTAATAGTAATTAAGTACCTAGTTGATATAGCAGTCGATTACACGAGTCAGCTTAACTCGGCACATGTTTGCTGTTTTACGATAGAAAAAGGTCAGACAAATTGATATATTATTTGTAATTTACTTAAATACTCGTACTTATGAAAAGTAATTGGTACAAGTATAAAATAAAAAATAATAGGAATAATAAATGTAGCGGTAGATTTATATGAATCTATTTTATATAAATCATGTAAATAAGTGATTCGATATAAATAAATATGCAAATCATTTGAAAGGATGTTGATTGTGTAAACGTTATTCGAGTAAATATAGTCAGTTGGCATTTCTATACTTAGTTCATCGAACTAATTAATGTTGTTATTATGGTAGCCTTGGTAACTTGTGTTGCGTAATCTATTTTTATCTGTTTAGGTTAATTCATCATCTTGCACAAAATCCACCGGTTCGTGGCGTGGTATAATTTAATTATCTAAGAGCCCGGTGAAAGCGACCCGCTGAGCGATGACGTAACGTTCACCTCTCGCGGTATCTTCACGCCTTCGAGATCAAAGAAAAGCGTCCATTCAGTAGGTATTGCTGAATGGACGGACTCATTGATCCGATTAACCGTGTACACCTACGAAAATATCTTGATATGCGTGTACAGAGATACATTCAATTGATCATCCGGGCAATGACATTGTCTTGGTGGGAAGTTAATTTACTTGTCGTTTCTTTTCCTTTTTTTTTTATTGTTAATTTTCATTTCATTTATACCATTTGTCTCGGTTAATTTTTATAACTATTTTTATAATTTGTAAAGGGTACACCGAGCTGAAATCATGATAAATAATAATCATGATACTGAAAAATATTTCCCAAAGGACATAGTTAAAATTTTAAATGTCTATAGTTTTCTTTTCTATATGTATAATACAGAAAAAAATATATTTTATGGAATATAGAAAAAGCATAGTCTTATTTCATACTAATAAAAATTATAACTAAACGATGTCCATGTACAATAATGTGTATAGAAAAAATAAAAAATTAAAGGGTCTTAAGACCAACAGATATCAATGCCCTAATTTTTAGAAATTTTGTCTATCTGTCTCTGTCTGTTTGTCTGTCTATTTGTATGTTTGTTCCTATATCACGCAAAAATTACTACGGCAAATTGGATATGATTTTCATATTTGTGTTTTTGCAAATTTTATTTAAAACATTGTGTGTGTTTTATCTTGATGCGCCATCTGGAAATGGTTTATTTCATTGACATTCCTACTTCTGAAATTCACAATATAACGAAGAATATATAATATAAATAACACAGTATAAATAAGAATAAAAGGATAACGAAGTAGCAGATATAAAGCTAGTGTTTATATAAAAAAGTAAAGACGAATGAATTTGTTACATGTTCGTTGAGGTTATTATTAGATAAGATCTTATCTCCTTAACACTTACCATACAAATCGAAACAGAAGTTCAAAGATGCTGGGGAATACGAGGTCGTCCGAGGCCGCCAGCCATTTCCGCCCCAGTAGCCGGAGTGCCGGCATCCTGAAACCAATATTAAATTTAAAAATATTTATTGTCTCTTAATTTCTTATGAATGGGAAACATCTTTCTTTGAGCTTAGTTTGTCATAATTATAAAGTATTTTGTGTAATATTGTTTTTGTGAAAGTTTTTAAACAATAACAGCTTAGTCGGACAACATGGTCTGCAGTCCGGGGATCCCACATCAAATTCCAGCCCATAATCTCTACTAGATAAGATAATGGTTACATTATAACCTTCAAGAAAAGAGCATATTCCTTTTTAAAAAACCGGCACTTACCACCAGGTGAGCCGCATGCTCGTTTGCCCCCAGTGTTGTAAAAAAAAACTAATATGCGTGTTTTGTAAATATGTGCATATGATAGATCATAGATAATAGAATAATGTGATAGATAAATTTATGTGTTACTTATAATTATTATATCAATTCTTGTACAAAAAAATATTTCTGATCGCCCTATAGCAGGAGTTACTGAAGTGTGTGCTATGAATATTAAAGAATCTATAATATTGCATTTAAAATATTAACGTTTAAAGAGTAATTACGTGAAAAATCTGTAATTTAATCGTTCATTTTTCTAATTTATATGATATTCAGGTACAGAACAGTTAATTGTATCTAATTATATATAATATTAACTGAAACTGAAAACTGCAAAGCGTAAAAATAATTAGAACTTGTTTTGTTTATACTTTCGCCAAATCAGCTTCGAGCTTGTATTGTATAGGTGAGTGTCCTACTTGTCTATCTTGATCTAATATCAATTACTTTATAATCTGCTTATTATTAATATATAATAAGCTATATCAGAGACCTTCATGCACAACGAATGTGGCCTAGAAACTCTTCATACCAGTTCGATATTCATATATGTAGTGGTATGGGGGGGGGGAGGGAAGACTACCAAAGCGGGATAAAGCTTTTGACTTTAGGTTGGTAACGTGTATTTGGCAAGAATATAAAATGTCATTACACTCTTATTTATCTAAGAGTTATTAGAGGCACAGATAATATAATACTAGAAATAAATAAGTAAACCACACGTTATATTGAAAAAAAAGTCACACAAAACCAATACGTGTATACCAAGCTGGCTGTATTGTGCAGTTATAATAAGCTAAGATCCTTTTCTGGAGAGAGATCTGTGCCCAATAGTGGGATATTGATAGGTTGTTATCGTCTGGTAAAGCATACGTAATTTCCAAGTTTTTAAGGGATCATAGTCTATGACAATTGTTTATTTTATTTTAGATTTAATTTAAAAAAAAAAATTCGTAAATATCTATTGTTACGTGCAAAGTTTGCTTGCTCTTGTAGGTATAAGTACTTATATGTAAGTTCAGAAAGTTACACATTCTATCGGCAATTCGATTACATTTAATGTCGTATGTATTAAATCAATTATTCACGCCAAAACTAGTTCAAGATCATTCTTGTTAATAGCACAAGATATGTATCAGCCCCAGCTTCGCATAGATGCAATTTATTACAACACATTGAATTTATTTACTTACTAGCGATCCGGTTCGACTTCACTCGGGTAGATAGAATTTTCGTTTATAATATAAATATATGCAAGCATTTATAGGTAAAATAATTTTGGAAGCCGGTTTAATATTTTTTAAGTTTATCCATTATAAATAAACAAATCTTTAGTCATTATAATATTAGAATAGATACAAAAGTTTAATTAGGATGTATTGTATTAAATAAAGAAAGAAATATTTTTTTATTAAAGTAAACTAAGTTTAATTTATGTATGTATCATAATATTTATAAGATATAGAGGTGTAAAACTTAAAACATGGATATATCTGATATTCATATATCTCTAAATAGTATAAACTAAAGTCGCTATGCGGGGAAAGGGATTGTAAGTAATGGAGACTGAGAATCCCATTGCTAGCAATATACCCAACCAGGTCGACCTCCTCGCGGTTCCCTCTGGAAACTATCATGGTTAATTCCTGATGAATTCATCATGATAGACTAACTGACCTGTTTTCATTCTCATCTATCACCCTTCACTGGTGCTCCACCAGTGTATCCCGTTAGCGCAGGCGGGTTACCATACCGTTTTCACCCATAAAAAAAAAAACCAAAGTCGCTATCCTTGTCTTTTCTGCATGGTTCTGCTCTCTCAGTATTTAGTCCGTCATTTTGAAACTGTAGGAAAGATCACCTTGCGTGATTTACTCGTACATACGTACGTCTCAAAACGAATCAACTGTCTCGTCTTTACATTAAAAACATGATATATGTGGCAGAAATCCTTATATTTATTTTGTCTTAATCGGTAAAATAAGAAATACTCATAAGATGGGATTGAATAAAAACTAAAAAAGTAAGCACTCCCGGCTGAGCGAGGAACGGAAAATTGAGTGAATATTTTACAATCTGAAAATACAATTTAGTAACATGAAAAGCTAGTAATAAAATATTTGTACCTACAGCATACGAGAAGGAGCTGAAAGTGGTTAGCAACACATCTCGGCGTTGCGTATAACCGCGACTTAACCGCTACGGAGTTAAAGGTTTGACGTCATAACGTTCCAAACACATTATACTCGTCCTTTCAAATATATTCGCAATATAGCGGAGTTCAATTATTTATATAATTTAATCATACGTGGGTATTCATTTTTGATAGATTTATTGTCAATATACAACGTTGATTTCATTTCAATGATTTTTTAATGATAGGTAGGTATATATGTTATTGATTTCACTATCAATTAAGAAAAATCCCAACATGACGTGATATTAATTATACGAATAAAACTAATAAAAGTTAATAAGAACTATGCACGGCAAATAAAGCACGGCATTTATATATATTAATTTATCTAAATATTATTATTTACAAAAAATGTGATTTCAAAATTAACAGTGATTTTCTTACGGTCTGTTTTATATTATATCTCATATTCTTTCTTTCATTCCATCTGAATTTAAAATAGTAATTCTGTTGTTATGATTAATAAAAACTATATTATATTCATAATTTCAATTTTTGTACGTCATTCAGATAATGTTGACCATTTCGATAAAATATCTTATTCGCTAATATAACTTTTCGATATTATTATTAGAAACAATAACAGTAAAATTTGAAGCTTCAGCAGACCAGAAAAGACTACTGCAAGAGCTGCAGTCTCACGATTGACGTCATCGCCGTAGGTCATTGGCCGACTATGCATGCATTTACTAAGTTTTCGCTGAGGTGAAAGTACAATTTTATTCATATTACACACATTATAAATTTCTGCTTCAAATTTTAAATGTCTGATGGTATTCGTATATACGTTGTGTTATATGTTTATTTTAACTGAAGAGTATGTCGTTTGGATACATTATTTTGCATATAAGTATTCAAAATAATGTAGTAGTACGTAATAGTAGTGCAGTACATACAACTGCTTTATAGTACACAGGTCAGGTATGTATTGACAGACCTTTACGAGTACATAAAATTTCGCCATATCTTATAGGTAAATTTGTGAAGCAACTTGACATAAAATATATGGCAAGTTGTTTCAACAATGTTATATTATTATTTGGAAAATTAAGAAACAGAATATAAAGTAACTATACAAGTAGACCACACCAAATTTTAATAGATAAGTAGTAAGTATTTGCTCATTCAAATATGACCAACTTGTTTTAAGATTTGATTTTTGCATTAATTACTTACTTATGTTTTGTGTGCAAATTTTTCCCGACTGCTGAAAAGGGTATTATTTTTTTTATAACAATTACGGCTATATGTATGTAGGTAAGCAGATATTTATGTACATATTTACCTACAGCTAAATGGTTTAAGGGATTTGTAAATGAGGTGTCACGAGATATGCCTTAATAGTATAATACAAATATGGCAGCCGCAACTGTCAAAATTGTATCTATAAAATAATATTTCAATTCAATTCTGACCCATGTCATATAAAATTCATTATACTTATCTCCTGTCCCATGGATAATGCCGTAAAATCTTTTCCGAAAACACCTGGTGTACCTGTCTAAATACAAGGTTATGTAATGGATTCTAATAAACCCATTGTTAGCAATAATATCTCTATGCAGTTCCTCTTGGAAACCATCATGATTATTAGTGTTTTTTTGTAGAATTCCGCCCAATGTTCAGTTGTGTCCTGCCAGCATATACCGATAGCCCAGTCCGGGTAACTATTTTATTTTCATCCATTAAAAAAATCCTTAGTAAATCCATATTCATAGATGCAATATTGTCTATGTTAGTCAGCTCTTAATGTGTATTTTCAAACAAGTTAAAAAGGTTCTCTATTCGCCTGTAATATATTTTTTTGTGTGCATACACAAAAAAATATATAATATTGCCGCCAATTATGAATCGATTTTGAAAATTATTTTTTGATATTTCTGTTTGTCCCATGTTAATTTTGTCATGATTGAAGCCGCTATTTTTTTGACGAAATAAATTTTTAATTGCGCCCTCAAATGGATTTGCAAGTAAGGTTGTCGTAACTACGAATATTCATAAAACTTATTTAGGTATATAATAGATAGTTTTACATTGAGTAACTTTAATATACCATGAAATTTATAAATGTGTTGTTGTTTTATTATTTGTAAAACCTTGAATTATAATCGGAGGTCATAATGACTACGTAACACAAACCCGTTTTTATTCTATGTTATAAATCAAAAAGGAAAGGACTGAATAACTTTTGTAAATTATCAAAAGTGTCATTATATGTCCCAATTGGCAGGAAATGAATTCATTATGTTTGAGACAAAAGGCCGCGGTTGCATGTCTGAAACCAGAGAGTATTTCGAGTTCCCTACATTGGCCTCTCAAACATTAGTAATTACGCTCAAATTCAGCGGAGAATAAATTGTTAGTAATATAGACACTAATTTTCATAGCTAACATTATATTTTACCAGATCGGTCTCCACGCGGTCCCATTTTTAAATTATCTTGATTAACATTTAGTTAATTCGTTACAATGGGCTAACTTA